TCCGATCTAAGGACAGTGCCAGGAAAGGAGTTTGACTGGGGTGGTACATCTCTACTGTGTACTGGGAACTCTGAGATATATGCCAAAAAATAACGCAGGTGTGATCCGATCTGAGGACACTGCCAGGCAAAGAATTTGACTGAATCGGTTGATCTGTCAAAGAATAAGGCATGTGTGATCTGATCTAAGGACAGTGCCAAGAAAGGAGTTTGACTGGGGTGGTACATCTCTACTGTGTACTGGGAACTCTGAGATATATGCCAAAAAATAACGCAGGTGTGATCCGATCTGAGGACACTGCCAGGCAAAGAATTTGACTGAATCGGTTGATCTGTCAAAGAATAAGGCATGTGTGATCCGATCTAAGGACAGTGCCAAGAAAGGAGTTTGACTGGGGTGGTACATCTCTACTGTGTACTGGGAACTCTAAGATATATGCCAAAAAATAACGCAGGTGTGATCCGATCTGAGGACAGTGCCAGGAAAGGAGTTTGACTGGGGTGGTACATCTCTACTGTGTACTGGAAACTCTGAGATATATGCCAAAAAATAATGCAGGTGTGATCCGATCTGAGGACATTGCCAGGCAAGAATTTGACTGAATCGGTTGATCTGTCAAAGAATAAGGCATGTGTGATCCGATCTAAGGACAGTGCCAGGAAAGGAGTTTGACTGGGGTGGTACATCTCTACTGTGTACTGGGAACTCTGAGATATATGCCAAAAAATAACGCAGGTGTGATCCGATCTGAGGACACTGCCAGGCAAAGAATTTGACTGAATCGGTTGATCTGTCAAAGAATAAGGCATGTGTGATCCGATCTAAGGACAGTGCCGAGAAAGGAGTTTGACTGGGGTGGTACATCTCTACTGTGTACTGGGAACTCTGAGATATATGCCAAAAAATAACGCAGGTGTGATCCGATCTGAGGACAGTGCCAGGAAAGGAGTTTGACTGGGGTGGTACATCTCTACTGTGTACTGGAAACTCTGAGATATATGCCAAAAAATAACGCAGGTGTGATCCGATCTGAGGACATTGCCAGGCAAGAATTTGACTGAATCGGTTGATCTGTCAAAGAATAAGGCATGTGTGATCCGATCTAAGGACAGTGCCAAGAAAGGAGTTTGACTGGGGTGGTACATCCCTACTGTGTACTGGGAACTCTAAGATATATGCCAAAAAATAACGCAGGTGTGATCCGATCTGAGGACAGTGCCAGGAAAGGAGTTTGACTGGGGTGGTACATCTCTACTGTGTACTGGAAACTCTGAGATATATGCCAAAAAATAACGCAGGTGTGATCCGATCTGAGGACATTGCCAGGCAAGAATTTGACTGAATCGGTTGATCTGTCAAAGAATAAGGCATGTGTGATCCGATCTAAGGACAGTGCCAGGAAAGGAGTTTGACTGGGGGCGGTATATCTGCCAAAGAAAAACGCAAGTGTGATCTAATCTGCGGACAGTGCCAGGAAAGGAGTTTGACTGGGGTGGTACATCTCTACTGTGTACTGGGAACTCTGAGATATATGCCAAAAAATAACGCAGGTGTGATCCGATCTGAGGACAGTGCCAGGAAAGGAGTTTGACTGGGGTGGTACATCTCTACTGTGTACTGGGAACTCTGAGATATATGCCAAAAAATAACGCAGGTGTGATCCGATCTGAGGACAGTGCCAGGAAAGGAGTTTGACTGGGGTGGTACATCTCTACTGTGTACTGGGAACTCTGAGATATATGCCAAAAAATAACGCAGGTGTGATCCGATCTGAGGACAGTGCCAGGAAAGGAGTTTGACTGGGGTGGTACATCTCTACTGTGTACTGGGAACTCTGAGATATATGCCAAAAAATAACGCAGGTGTGATCCGATCTGAGGACACTGCCAGGCAAAGAATTTGACTGAATCGGTTGATCTGTCAAAGAATAAGGCATGTGTGATCCGATCTAAGGACAGTGCCAGGAAAGGAGTTTGACTGGGGTGGTACATCTCTACTGTGTACTGGGAACTCTGAGATATATGCCAAAAAATAATGCAGGTGTGATCCGATCTGAGGACACTGCCAGGCAAAGAATTTGACTGAATCGGTTGATGTGTCAAAGAATAAGGCATGTGTGATCCGATCTAAGGACAGTGCCAGGAAAGGAGTTTGACTGGGGTGGTACATCTCTACTGTGTACTGGGAACTCTGAGATATATGCCAAAAAATAACGCAGGTGTGATCCGATCTGAGGACACTGCCAGGCAAAGAATTTGACTGAATCGGTTGATCTGTCAAAGAATAAGGTATGTGTGATCTGATCTAAGGACAGTGCCAAGAAAGGAGTTTGACTGGGGTGGTACATCTCTACTGTGTACTGGGAACTCTGAGATATATGCCAAAAAATAACGCAGGTGTGATCCGATCTGAGGACACTGCCAGGTAAAGAATTTGACTGAATCGGTTGATCTGTCAAAGAATAAGGCATGTGTGATCCGATCTAAGGACAGTGCCAGGAAAGGAGTTTGACTGGGGCGGTATATCTGCCAAAGAAAAACGCAAGTGTGATCTGATATGAGGGCAGTGCCAGGAAAGGAGTTTGACTGGGGCAGTACATCTGTACTGTGTACTGGGTACTCTGAGAAATATGCCAAAAAATAACGCAGGAGTGATCCGATCTAAGGACACTGCAAGGCAAAGAATTTGACTGAATCGGTTGATCTGCCAAAGAATAAGGCATGTGTGATCCGATCTAAGGACAGTGCCAGGAAAGGAGTTTGACTGGGGCGGTATATCTGCCAAAGAAAAACGCAAGTGTGATCTGATATGAGGGCAGTGCCAGGAAAGGAGTTTGACTGGGGCAGTACATCTGTACTGTGTACTGGGTACTCTGAGAAATATGCCAAAAAATAACGCAGGAGTGATCCGATCTAAGGACACTGCAAGGCAAAGAATTTGACTGAATCGGTTGATCTGCCAAAGAATAAGGCATGTGTGATCCGATCTAAGGACAGTGCCAGGAAAGGAGTTTGACTGGGGCGGTATATCTGCCAAAGAAAAACGCAAGTGTGATCTGATCTAAGGACAGTGCCAGGAAAGGAGTTTGACTGGGGCAGTACATCTGTACTGTGTACTGGGTACTCTGAGAAATATGCCAAAAAATAACGCAGGTGTGACTTGATCTGAGGTCACTGCCAGGCAAAGAATTTGACTGAATCGGTTGATCTGTCAAAGAATAAGGCATGTGTGATCCGATCTAAGGACAGTGTCGGGAAAGGAGTTTGACTGGGGTACATCTGTACTGTGTACTCTGAGAAATATGCCAAAAATGCTGGCTTGATTCCGATGTTCACTATGCATTAGGACTGAGAAATCACTGCCTATAAATTCTTTTGGCTTTAAGTTTTCTGCAAGAGGTGTTAGAAAAGTTAAGTCAGTAAACGGACTCACACTTATAGTGCACTCACGATATCCTAATCTCTGAAATGACACTAATGAATTTAACTAGTAACCACTACACACAACTCTAAAACGCCCAGCCATTCTGCCAGCTGACAACGGATTTCTCTGCTCTCGTAGTATAGGACTGCAGAGGAGTAAGGAAACTGCTCCACTCATAGGAAAACAGTACTATTAAAATTTATTGGACAGAAGAGAGCAAACTCCGCATTCTGCATGTTCGCCTAGGAAATCCCAGTTTTAAAGACTTCTTTTAAAACCTATTTTCTTGACTTGGCCTATTGCCTTATTGTGTTTGATGGCTGAATAAATGATTTTATTTGATTCACATTGATATTGATTAAGTAAAATATCAAGCGCTAATATTATTTGCCAATAGAAGTTTGTGTTCCATGTGAATCTAATGGTTTCCAGTTTCCACTTGTTTATAATCAACGCATATTTCAAACCACGGTTGCGTGCAATATCATTATTTACAAACACCACTTTGGCAAGTTTTGATTGCATACATACGATCACCTTTTATACCAACAACTGACCTTAAAACATTTGATAATAAATAGTTTCAAAATAAATAGTATATATTCATCTACACAATTGTACACAAACAACTCTAACAGCTTGGTCATTTCCATAAAGCTAAAATGGAACTACAATGATTACATTGTTTTAGTTTGATGAGATTCCACATGTAAAAAATGTTTACACAATTTGTCTTTTTTATAACATGCAACCAAGTTGTATTGATAATCTGACACATAAGGGGCTTGTGGCTTGTTGGATGGTTAATTAATTGTAGTTTATGGATTACTAAAGTAACTTTCTAAAAAATAAATCATCAAATAAAATTTAAATAAGGTAAAATATAAAAAATTCATTAAAACATCTAAGTGTATATAAAGACTTATAACATAATCAAATTGATCAAAATTTATAATGATCATTATCAACATCATAAAACGGTCTGTTAACAGTCATCGTGATGAGATCACTAACTTTGATATATCTTTGATTATTTTCAGTACCCAAACAACCCTTCTGCTGTCAAGGTTTTGTTAAATTATAGAATGTGTCGGACTATCAAAGCTCTATTGTATGGTTAATTGACTACAATTCTAAACTGAACTATGTTTGAGCACTTGGACATTATGGTTTTTTTGTTACTTAGCACAAAATACGTACAATCATACATTTAAAAACGTTTTGTGATATTCACCAAAGAAACATGCACCACTAAATGATATTGGGAAATCCTGAGGTTTCTAACATTGCCTGAAAGATAATTTCAATACCAAAATTGAGAAAGGAAAAAATGTACAATTGTTTTTGTTAGTAAACTGAGAGAATAGTCTTTCTTATCTTTACAGAAATAAAAAAATATAATTCTTTTATCTATCGTATTGTTTAATTTATCATCATAAAACTCCAATTATTATAAGGTAACAAAATTTAACCGTTTTTTTTTTTTTTTTTTCAATTTGTTTATAATTGATCGATAGTAGATGCTTAAGATGATTCCTACAAAATTAATTTGTGAAATTGAGGATTTGAGATCCTGCATTGACAAAGAGGATGTACACATAAAAATCACTTGTACTGACAACTAAGGATACAAAGACACAGGAAAAAATTTGGGCACCTAATTTGTGCAGTGAGAAATTTACACATTATCCTTTTAATGGTCCTTAGAATTCATAATTTTTCAAGGAATCCATGGTTGGTAGTGAAAATTGCAGTGTTTCTTCATCACAAAAAATCAAAGACAATTTCCCATGTAATATTTATTATAATGTGGTTAAAATCAATGGCCCATCATAAAAATGAAAGACTTGCGTGAAATTGTTAGGCATTACGTATAAGAGGAAAATTAGTATATGAAAAGTTCAGAATTGGGTTTCAGATTCGAAACATCTGCATTTGACCATCACTGCAGATAATAAAAAATAAAAGTATACCAAATAAACAGAGGAAATGATTAAGTAGGGAGATTTTTTAGAATAGAATTCACAAATAAATAATAATAAAAATTAAATTATGAAAATATCTCTAAGCAAACTACAAATACACGAGCATAATATACAAGGAAAGAAGCGGGAATGCCACTAATTGTAAATACTTATATAGTTACATTAAACACATATCTACAGGTTTCACCACTAAAAGAAATCGGGTAACTAACAAAAGAGCTGATCATATAATATTTTCAGTTTCTGAATTCTTACTGAACTCGGTCTACAAAATATAAAAAGATTACATGTAATCGATAAACAAAGAACACTAAGGATTTAAAACATTGAGTTTAAACATGAACCCGAGGAGGAAAATGACTGATTCTCTGAGTCATTTCTCGCATAAAATCAGCTTGAATAGTTTCTAGAGTTTGATAAATAACCCGAAAACTCGGTCTTGCAGCCGGTTTGCGGTTCCAGCACAGTTTCATCAGTTCATACATTGGCTTTGGAGTATTGTCAGGACATTGTAGCATATTTCCCTCTTTGATAAATTTGACAACTTCTTCATGAGTCATTCCATAGTAGGGCTGCAGAGCGAATGAAAATATTTCCCACAAGCAAACACCGTAGGCCCAAACATCTGTTTCAACAGTGTACTTGTTGTAAAGAATTGATTCGAGAGGCATCCATCTAACGGGAATCGCGTCGTGCTCATCACCTTTGTAATAGTCTTGCAAATACATTTTTTGAGAAAGCCCAAAATCAGCAATTTTAACCACCATATTGTCATCTATGAGGCAATTTCTAGTAGCTAGATCTCTATGAACAAATTTCCGGTCAGAAAGGTACACCATGCCGGCAGCTACTTGTTGAGCTATTTTTAGCAAGTCGGCAGTGGTGAGTTGAATATCACGAAATAGATCACCTCCACCTTCGGAACTGCGCACAATATAGTTACTGGGGGAACATGATCTTAAAAACTCATTCAAGTCCCCGCGGCCCATGTACTCGAACAACAAACACATAGGTTTGCCCATAGCACAAACTCCCAACAGTTTAACGATGTTGGGATGGTCAAATTCAGCCAACAGACAAGCTTCTCGCTCAAAGTCCACTTGCAAATCTTCCGAAGCTTCGTCTTTCAGCATTTTCACTGCTACCAAGGTGAACTCTTCTCCTTTCAGCAAACCTGGAGCTTTAGCCTACAAATAAAACAAACTGGTGTAAACTTGGTCGTGGTATTACTTTTGGATTAAACCATACTTTCTTATCTTTACAAATACAAAACTTATTTGTTTTGTATTTGTGTAAATGACACGAATCATAGCTCAAATCAATATTTGTAAAATTTTTGTCTGGAATAAATAAATTAGGACAGTAAATAATAGGTATTTCAGTGGATGTTTTTAAATTAAAAAATTAATATTTTTTGAAACCAAGAAGAGCAATCAAGATCAGTGAATAAAGCACATGAATTCATAATTACAAAAACTTGGAAAATATTTGAATTTTCAATATCTGAACAGAACTTTAACCATCTGAACAGTCTAAACATTTCACTCTCCATTTCATCTTATTATATTTAATCAAGATGCTACTTCAATTTAGAGAAAATAATACATAACATATTACCTGAAACACTCTTCCAAAAGCACCTTGTCCCAGATCTCTAATATAGATGATATCATTTCTTGGAAACTCCAATTTTTCAAGCTTAGGATTCAAACTGGTCCCAGTTTTATGATAGGCTGAATTATTTGGAAGTTTTTCTAAATCAATATTTACATCCTGTAAAACAGTCATAATCAATTATTAATTACTGCTTTGGCTATTTAGGGTTTGAAATAGTAATTTCTTTACCAAAACAAAGTAATCTTTTCTATATGAGCTCAAATTTGACCAAGAAAGTGAATCCAAGGGATGCGGGGTGGGGAGCTAAGATTAAAAAGCCACTTTTGGTTGGTCTTGGCGATAAAATACATATTTTTGTCAAACTGTGTAAAATCTTTCGCTTACTGGTTGACAAAACTAAGATTTTCTCAAGGGGATGTCCACCTGTGTAATTTGGGAATTGATCAGGAATGTGTTGAATTTTATTACAATAATATGTTAACCAACCAGTAAAACTTTCACAGTCACTAAGTGTACGTATGATAAAATATGGAAAAATTCAATCTTCCAGTTTTGTTGTTTTCACATTGAATAAATTTTGGATTTTTCTAGGAATAAAACAATTTCAAGTATTCATGATGTTACGGCATAGGTGTTAGATGATTATAATATTGCCATGATCATAAAATGCACAGTGATGAATTGAGCATTAACCAATTTTAAATTACTGAAGCAAATAGTGCGGTCTTAGGTCTTACTCATATCAGACTTGCTTTTTAAAACTCTGCAGAAAAAGTTTGTAATATTGCTTTCATTGTTTGTTTGTGTTTTCCGACCTTTCCCCCTTTGACCTTATTGCTACCAGTTTAGGTTGGATAAACGAGACTCTGTTCCTCCAAAAACGTAGGATATGAAGTTATACACAACTAAAACCTATCAATAGTCAGTATTAAAAATACCCATGCCGCAGCAAACCTGTAAATTAAGCAAATATAACTTTATCTGATTGGATTTTTACTTAACTATTTCCATAAACAAGATATATTTATTCCACTTTTAGATTAAATTTTCTGCAAAGAGGAAGGTAAAAAGTGTTATTTGACCAAATTTTAATATTTTAGGATCAAATAAATAAATTTGACAAATTTGATCAACATACACCATAAACAAGCGAACTACAACCATTTCTTTTTCTCCATAAGAATAACTTGGGAGTTTTAAATGCAGTTTTTGGAATTTTCTCTAACCTTTAATTTAACAACGACGTTTCATTATACAAAATTGTTTTTTTTTTTAAGGTCTAGCCTACAAGATGGAAAAAACTAATTTTTGAACATTTCAAAACCTCATAATACCCTATTTCCATGACCCAATCTTGCTGGTTCCCGAATTCATTCAAGTTTATTCCTCCAAATTTCATCAAAATTGGACCGAAATTACTCAAGTTATCATTGTTTACCATATATACATATACATATTAGAAATACGAAAGAATAGTCCCGCTAGGCCGAGCAAGACCTGTGCACAGGATGATTTTTTTTATGTAAAGATAATGTTTAAATATACCTACATATATAAAAATTTGAACCAATAGTGTTTTTGGCCTCTGGTGACATCAAAATGAAAAAGCAAATCAGTCCCAGGGTTAGGAGGTTTTAATGTGCCACCTAATGTAATAGCTAATTCCCTATAGGGTAAATTTGTGTGATTTATTTTTATAAGATATTATTACTTGTTCACATACCTGTGTGGGTGTTGGTCTGTAGGCAAGTCTTTGCTTGAACAGTCTATGGCAGAGTATGACCAATAAGATGACTAATATTAATGTGAGGACCCCTACACTTGCAACTACCAGAAGATAGGTGTCTTTAGTAAAGTAGTCCAAGTTTATCCCTCCAGGTGTATCCGATGTCCAATTGGTGGTTGTATTGTCTAAAAACCCAAACACTTAGCATAAGCCTACTAAAAAAGGAACCTTCAAAAATATTACAGATAAATGTTTACCTAACAACTAGGGGTGTGCGAAGCAGCAAATAATTTTTGATTCGAAACAACGATTCGATTCAAAAGATTTTACTGTCGGGGAAATAAATATGTGCACTCGAGTTTGAGCCTAAATATCTCTGAGATTAATTATCCGATTTTGTTGAAAGACAAATTAAATGTAAGCTGGTTTAAATTCATTTTACGTGGTAACAGTTTAAAAAATTTCCGTTTACCAGAAAAATTTATATACTTGAAAGATCCTAAAAAGTACCGGTTTTTAAGAAACTCTGCACTAACACTAAAGTTTAAAATTTAATTGTAAACAAACCACTGAGCCAATCTTTCTGAAATTTTTATGGATTTATGGTAGGTTTATTATTGTTAACATTTTCATGCATTTTAAAATTTTTACTCACAATAGTTTTTATGATGCTGTTAATTTTTAAAACGTATGCTAAAATCGTTAATAAGACGCTAAAAATTTTGTTCAAAATACCATCGTGTTTGTCGTGACACAAGAAATAACACCAATATGACAGATTTATAATGCAAACAAAGGTGTTTCTTAAACAGATTTATATTTGTAAGCAAAAATTTCTCCCGCGACTGGCAGCGGGTCGCCTGGTGTTTGTACGATACATACAGCTGGGATATATCCCAGCCGGGCGGGAGCACGTGCCAATCTGCGACGTTGCCAATGTGTACCAGGCTACCACACTGACATTGCTTCGGTATTCACTCGCGGCAAACTACTGTGAAAATCATTATTTAGTTTAAAATATAAATAAATTTACTAACAAAATATTGTAATTAACTAGTCATGAAACAAATACAGGTGGTAGGAAAAATGTACTTTGTATTACGAGCACCAAGCCAATTTCTTTTGTGTTGATTGAGATTGTTAAAAAATTATAACAGCCAAATTGCCAAGTAAATGTTTTCCACCAGTATTTAATTAATGGTTTCTTTAATTTGCCACTTTTAAATAAAACTCTGAGAGTAGAAATCGGAGCGGTCATCACCCTTTCCGGGAAGTGTTGCGTTAAGCTGGAATATCCGATGAGTAATGGAATGCAATGAACACATTAGCTCCCCCTTTCTTGAACTACGGTCGCTAAGAGAGATGACTAACCAAGCTAACCAGGTCGTCTTAGATTTTTACACTGGTAGTAACATCTATTCGAAAATGAGTGAATACCGAAGCAATGTCAGTGTGGTAGCCCGGTACACATCGGCAACGTCGCAGATTCGCACGTGCTCCCGCCCGGCTGGGAAATATCGGTCAAACACCAGGCGACCCGCTGCCAGTCGCGGGAGAAATTTTTGTTTAAAAAACACCTTTGTTTGCATTATAAATCTGTCATATTGGTGTTATTTCTTGTGTCACGACAAACACGATGGTATTTTGAACAAAATTTTTAGCGTCTTATTAACGATGTTAGCATACGTTTTAAAAACTAACAGCAGCATAAAAACTATTGTGAGTAAAAATTTTAAAATGCATGGAAATGTTAACAATAAACCTACCAATTATCCATAAAAATTTCAGAAGATTGGCTCAGTGGTTTGTTTACTATTAAATTTTAAACTTCAGTGTTAGTGCAGAGTTTCTTAAAAACCGGTACTTTTTAGGATCTTTCAAGTATATAAATTTTTCTGGTAAATGGAGATTTTTTAAATTGTTACCACGTAGAATGTATTTAAAACAGCTTACATTTAATTTGTCTTTCAACAAAATCGGATAATTCATCTGAGAGATATTTAGGCTCAAACTTGAGTGCACATATTTATTTCCCCGACAGTAGATTCGAATCGATGCAACTCGATTCGAAGCAATACGGCATTTTTATACTTGTCAATGTAGTGAAATAACAATTGGCTAATTAAAGTTTACCACATTTATGTAATGCAAATTTGTTTATGTGGTATTAGGCCTATTCATACATATATATGAATTTTATGTGAAAAAATATTTATTTTCAATCATATATTAGAAGAACGTGTATTGCTGGAAATGTCAGTGAGCTGCTTTACTTGCTTATTTAATAATTTTTACTTGCAGAATCATATTGTTAAGAATGTTACCTATTTTGTAATATTCATTTTACAAATAAAGATATGTTTTGGTGTAAACAACTAGCCTACATTTGCAAGATTTATACTGAAACTTTCAATTGGCTTACATTGATAAAAATATGATCAGACCTACAAACTACAAGGTATACATAGCAGATCTATAAAAATACCAAATTTATCAGTCTAAAACATCAATCTTACAAGTTAAAGATCAAGTAACAATTTTTCGGTCTTGTGTTATTTTTAGAATGATTTTGGAGTGACTTGTTTTGGCTATGTTTACAGTAGTAAAACATGTCTCACACAGCTTGCACTTAACAAAACTTCTCATCATTTGCAATTTCAAAACAAAAAATTATTTAACTTTTAAAGCATTATTTACAAGCAGAGAATTAATTGAATAAGAACGCCTTCGCAAATGAAACAGAACAACACGCTCCTGTATTGCGGGTATTGCATTGACTTTCTGCAGGCATTTTTCGTATATGGATACTAACTCCCCCATGAATGGAATCGTTTTTGATCACCACTGAATCGAATCGCAATTTGATGCATTGAAACGAATCAAATTGGAATTTCGATGCATCGCACAGCCCTACTAATAAACTAGTATTTAAATATTCAAATGTTTCCCCTACTAATAAACTAGTATTTAAATATTCAAATGTTTCTTGTAAGCTTAACTGAGATTTAGGAAGCTTTATACTAAAAACTATTAGGTACTTCCCTGTTGGAGAATTATCTAACAGGGGAAGGTACAGACTTTTCAGGTTATTACTAATATGTGCAATTTGGGTTGTATGTAAGAATTAAGCTCTCCCTTCGTTTGTCTTGACAAACCATGTCGAGAGTAAGTAGGTAGTGAAGTTGAGTGACGTGTGAAACGCCAGTCAGTTTGTTTTTAATAGGCCTACGAGGCAATAAGACAAAGTCAAAACCCAGACTCACTAACTCATACGAGAAGGCCGAAATTGCACAATTGCAAAACACTTTGTCATGGTTATTGATCACCGGGATGAGCAGGCAGCTGAGTAAATAAAAAGTCAAAGCTAACGAACCTTGAATTAACATTGTCTGAATAATACCGACTGACATTGAATTGTCTGCTGTGAAATACTTCTGTATTTTGTTACGCTGAAAATAATGTTAATTATTATAATTAACATATTAATTATTATATTAATATGTTAATTATTATGAAGATTTGACATGCTCTAATAGTGTTTTGTGAGCGTTAACGCAAACAAAAAGGTCACTTATCTTTCTTTAATTGTTTTATTAGAAGAGGCTTTAATTGTTTTATTAGAAGAGGCAACTTTTTTTATTTCTCAGGCAATTAGCCCTTTCTCTCCAAACCGAACCTTGAATTAATTGTGTAATCTTGCTTTTAGGGAGTAGTTTTGGGGCCATTGGTCGATATATTTATTGAATAGTACCCATCATTGAAAATAACAAAAGAATATTATTTTTGATCTGCTAGTCATAAACAATAGACTTATTTTGTTCTTCTAATTCCACATGCTCCCATTTTTTCGTATGGTGGGCCTACTAATTATTTTTTTTTCTTTTTTTTCGGACAAACTATTTCCTTAGTTGGGCTTCCTTCAGAGATTTACTTTTGGTATCTAATATAACAAAATGTTATATCCTTTAAAAAAGGAATTTTTAAATATAATCTTTCAATAGGATAGAATTGTAAATAGGAATTCATCCAACAGGTCAATATATTTAAAAACACAACAAAATTAATACCCATATTAGGCAATACGCTGGTATTCGCCTGGCTTCGTATGAGCTAATGCAATGATATACACAATACCAGAATCAGTATGACAATTTTGTGTTGCTAATACACCTGCCAACATTGTCTGAATAATACCGACTGACATTGAATTGTCTGCTGTGAAATACTTCTGTATTTTGTTACGCTGAAAATAATGTTAATTATTATAATTAACATATTAATTATTATATTAATATGTTAATTATTATGAAGATTTGACATGCTCTAATAGTGTTTTGTGAGCGTTAACGCAAACAAAAAGGTCACTTATCTTTCTTTAATTGTTTTATTAGAAGAGGCAACTTTTTGCAGGGAGGCCTAATTCAAAATTTGTGGGGAAACATTTTCTCAATTGAATCTCAAATTAAAATTTTCTATCCACTATATTGGTAAGGACATCAGCTCTTGATGATCAATTCTTGATAAAGATACCAATTAATTAGGGTCCAAAAATCAGTGATATTGAGAATCGACACATCTCTAACTATAATCCTCTCTCTGAGAATTAAGGAGACAAAGGATAGGATGATCAGGCTTACCTTTAGAAATGTAAGCAGCCCACTTCACTACAGTAACACAGAAGAAAACACAAAAGAAACACTGAATATTTCGAGGCCACTGGCCCCTTTCTCAACATTAAGAGTCATATTAGATTCTTGAAGTCTTTCTCTGGTAAAGGAAGCAGTGTTGCCAACACGATATAAATTTACAAATGAATATTTACAAGTTATTTCAGTAATTGAATTTACACTTAGTCTAAGCCTGCTTTGTAGTTGTGGAAAGGGATAAAGGAAAATTTTAGGCCTATCTGAGATTGAGGTTTGCAGGCTCAAGAATTCAGCACAAGAATTAAAAATCAGAGGACAGACATAAAAAACAAGTAACAACCATCCAGATAAACCAGTGCTTATTCATGCTGCCAGCCACAATATACAAGATTTAAACAGCTGTTTTAATTCAAAAATAATAAGATCTTACCCTCCCACCTGTAAACCATCACAACTAAGGAGATGGGAACTTTTTTATCAGTGTTTTAAAAAATCCAGGGAACCTCCAAACCTCAATCTCAGATATGCCTAACATTTTCCTTTTCCCCTTCCACGACTAAAAAGCAGGCTTTGACTAAGTGTAAATTCAATTACTCAAATAACTTGTAAATATTCCTTTCTGTTCAAATGTAACCATCTCTCTGTAATTTCTACCAACTCAATGTTACACTAAAATACATTACCACAAGCAGGCACGTCGCAGAGTTGCCAGCGAGTTTCTGGGTCCATGGTGTAGCACCAAGGTCCTGGCTCCTCCCCTCCGGCGTTACGACAGTAGTTATCAGCGTTTTGAACTTCAGGGAAAACATCGGGAGGTCTGTCGTGAGAGTGGGGCTTGGAAGAGTCCCATCTCTGACAAGGGATTCCGGTTTTGGTTTTGTTGACGTAACCAAAGTAATATCGTCCTCTTCCTTTTACACAATCATCTGTTTGAAAAAAAAAAACACATTTGGTTACATATTTCTGAGCTACAATTGAAAAAGTTAAGAGCAAGACCTGCTGTTGCTTGGCATTACTGGATGTTAAAGAACTATAGACTTTAACCTTAGGTACCTACTCTCTAATCTTTGTAAAAACAATTTTAAGGTTTGTTTCTCTCTGGTTTATCTAGATCATGCTTTTGATGGTTACTGTTCGTTGCTTACTATTTAACCTACTTTAAAACTACTTCAACTATTGATTATCCTTTAGTACTAGCCTACCTATAGTAGAGCAAATTATCCTAAATGTTGGTTAGCCGAAAGGAACAAAAGATCATATACAACAAGTTGATAAAATAATTTATAATGTTAGTTTAAATATTGAGGGGAGTAGCCTATCGATAGATAGGCCTATGTACATATAAACACTTTTTGTAAAAATTCGACACTTTTTATAACATTTGAATGTTTTGTGCACTAAGAATATTTTTTTGTAAATTATTTGTCCTGCAGAAAATCAATGAAAACCATATCAAGTATTCAAAAACATAAATATGCTACCTTCTTTTTTTAGCAATTGTTTTTTTTTTTAGTTTCTTCTTTTAGTTCTCCAAGATATGACCAATTACCCTGTTTTATTTATTTATTTAACATCATCACATTACATCAATTCTCTTGACAGGTGATTTGTTAACATATTTGTTTATGTTTATATGGTTTTTTTAATCATTTTGATATGACAATAATTCTAGTGAGCTATGCTGAACAGTGAGTTCTGCTAGTGTTTATACTTATAACAAATATTATTCACACTTTTGGGTATTTAAGACCGTAAACTACAGTAGGGTCAAGCATTCAATGGAAAAGTTTAAACCAAAACGGCATAAAATCAAAACACCTCACATGGCTTGTTAGCCAAAATCAGTTCCAAGCCATTTTGAAATTGTTCCATCAAACAAACTTAACTGCTCTACCACCACTTGGTACCATGGTCTTGAACGCTTATGTCCTGTATAAGTTGAATACAGACAGACCCCTTTCCAGACTTCACTTCCAGGTATCCATAATTGAGGAGTTGGCAAATGAATGGTTTTTAGAAAAAGCTCCGGTTGCTGATAATAGAGGTGGCGGCGATCGATTTTCACCCAACAGGAAATTTGGATTAGAAAAACTAGAAGGGAATAAGGAAAGCAATTGTTGTGTGTGCAGTGGGAAAAATAACAATTTGTTTCAATTGTATGCGTGGATGTCACTTGGACTGTCTTCCTCGACTCAAATGTAAATAGATGAGCCGTTCTAGAAAAATTGTAAATATGTAAATAGTTTTAGCTCTAAAAGTTTAGTTTCCATTTTTTAACAGAAAATATTATTACATTAGAAAGATGTGCATAAACTGCTTTCACATTCTTCTCAGTGTCTAAAATGGTGAGAGACTTAATTTTTCCTTTTCATTTCTTGCATGATAGGCTTACCTATTTCAAATTACCTCACTGTTGATAGATGCAAGCCTATAAATGCATGTAGAAATGTTATTGTAAAAGTATTTCTGTAATAAGTGGGAAATATTTAATAAAATTGTGTTTTTACTTTATGTGATTTTTTTAATATGTGTCAATTTCGGCAAAAAAGTAGGTAGGCTAATGTTTTTATTTGTATAACAAAAAATAGTATTTATTATTATTTTTTGCTAAAACTTCACAATTTGTTCTTTATTCAGTGGTATTTAATAAAATAATTAAACTTATAGGCAAAAATAACAGCTAACACTCTTTTTTTGGGTTGCAAAATAGAAATTTTAGAAAATATTAGGTAGTTCATATATATATATATATAAATTAAATATATATATTTATATATTTTTGAAATTTTACTTAATATTGTTAAAGTAGATTTTATTAGCTAAAACATAAAAAAGTTATAATTCTAGCTGCTCTCCAAGGTGAGTTATGGATATTTATTTGATAATAGTACAAAACAGCTGAAAATGGCTTGGGATTCTGGGGTATAGTGTGCATAGAGTAACTGGGTCATCTGGTGTGACAACACAACTAGTGGTCTGGGTCACCTCTGATACAAAATTAACACATTGCTTCGGACCTAAAGGGTTTTAAAGTACTTTTTAAATCTAAAAATAGTTAATTATTTATGCTGAACTATAATGTGCAAGTATTTAGCTGCACAAAAATATATGACAAGGTATAGTATGTTAGTATGTTAGTATGTTATAATTTTTAATAAACATTGCTGCAAAATACCCGAAGATCAACTGACAACACACAAAAATGACTGACACCAGGAGGGTTAAGAGAGGTTCTACTGTATAAAAGGTTACAATACAAACACCAAGAGTAAATAACACTCACAAGTAACTTCATCCTTATTAACTTGCGTAAGTTTGGCATGAGAGCAGACAGGTTTGTCGGTGTCAAGTCGGGGCAAAGCTGTGCAGTTGGGAAGACGGAAGTGTCCCCTTGTCTGGTAGTAGACACCATGCTGTTTGTTGTTTTCTATCAATGCCCAGTTGTTATAGCAAAACAAATCTCTAATGGCGACACAGTCTTCATAGCAAAGAGGAAGGCCAACTGGAAATCCATTCACTATGTGGCACTGAGGAAAAGCGTAAAGGCAGAGCATTTTCTGAAATAAAAGAACAAGAGAATTAGGAAAGAAATTTAAGTATAACACTGTTAAAATTTTACACAATTATCATCTCACAGCCAAACTATCAGTTGAAGAAGACATATAGCCTACATTTGACAATACAAACTGTGTCGTGGATTCTTAAGCGTACTGATAGTACTTTTGATCTTCAATTATAAAGATATGGGGTAGAAAAACTTCTTGGTTAAAGTTTGATTTTGGTTTTAATAGCAATCACTTCATCCCAATATGACACATTTTACAACTAATGGACCTCAAACTTAAGACTTACTTCAGCAGCTGATCTACAAGGCTCTTGAAGTGTTTTAATCATTTCCTCCCAAAGACCTGCGGTTATGTTTTCATTTCTCCCTCCAGAGTCGGAACTGTTGAACCAAACCTGACCTACGCCAGCCAGATAAGACTTGCACACCTTACCACTGTATGGAGCACATTTGCCCGTCGACATTTCTGAAAAATATTTGCAAACAAAAACAATACAGATTTTGAAAACAAGTACAATTGAATTTACTTTACAAAATTTACTGAAAAAATATGTTTATAGGCCTACCTATGAAGTTTTACCTAATTAGACAGCTTTATTTTATTTTATAGATAGTTATGTAGCAAAAAACAAAATAACTTTATACAAAGCTATTCAATACAAATGGGTTTCTTAGATATCATATTTACTATAGATACCTACTTTGGCCTGATTCTTAATTAGAAATTCTCTGTTTGTTGTATTTTACGATGACACATCGTTGTACGTATAATTTAAGTTATAACGGTGCTAATCATACATTTGATTCGTATAAATGTTAAGACTTTATTTTAAAGATATCAACACAGTGGCTTTTAATCAACGCTGAAAAGATTTAATTTAACATTTCAATTTTGTCATGTTAAATTGAAATGTGTGACATAACATAGCACGTAGAAAAACAATCAATATCTAATTTTCATAGGGTTAGGTGAGTGTTTAATGAGGTTATCAAACAGTACCAATATTAATTTATAACATAACACATATCCCGATACTAACACATTGTTAACATTAATTGTACAAATGGTTAGGCTAATTGTTTATTGTTAATTGTAAAAATGGTGTTTGCCGTAAAAATAAATAAAAAAGTAAATAAACTAAGCAGTGACGGATGCCAAACTATCTTAGGTCAATTTAAAAAGAGGCTTTTTAATATAAAATCTACCATCCAACCTTAGCCTACAATATAGTAAGTTATTTACCTTGCTCATTAGTAATTACTGCGGTGAGCCCAAGAAGGAAAACTGCATTCCACTGAACAAGACCCATCAGTTGTTTAGATGTATGCCATCAGTTTCATCAAGCATGGCAGACATAGGCTTATTTATTTGTACAATTGGAACCCTATAAAGACAGAAAAGAATCATAATGTTACAAACCTAATATCCAGTAGACTCATACTCGAACTTAACCCTTTCGATGCTAGCGAAAATTCCAGCCTACTTATTTTGTCCGAAATATGCTTGCAACGGGGGCGAAGTCTAGTGTGCGAGAAAAAAAATCAGTAAAAAAAATTTATCATCTCAAAAGTACTAAGGAACGATATATCGGGCCTAAGAAGAATCATAATGCCAGAAACGGTGAGAGCCCTCAGGGCTTAGGTCAAATGTTGGCCTGACTTAAAGTAATGTGACAAACAATTCCAGGTCTGTGTCCAACAGAGTAGAGGGGTTTTTTAATTAGTAGTCTGATAAATGCAGGAGTCTCACACTACAGGCTGGCTACCTGTGTGCGTAACAACATTAAACATAAATTGCTGTTTCGAAACAACAACCGAGTCAACAGGTATGTCCATTTAAGCTTATCCGGTCGAAAGTCGCACCAGCACGATATATCGTTGATTAGCACTATTCGGATGAAACACGAACAACGTTAATAAAAGGGAGCTATGGTTTATTAACTTAGACCATTTAGTTTAATGTAGTTTTACACTTTACTAGCATAGTTGCTGCCTTGTTTAAAAGTTAGGCCTTCTTTATTTCTATGTCTTAGACTTTCTAATTGTTTACATTTACCGTAACTGGTTGTAACACTTAAGTTAGGAAATTATTGCGATGAGGGTGACCAAGAGTAGTAATTTACATATCATTAGAAACTATATTTTTACCTGAAAACAATGGTGCAACAATTTTTCTGCCGTCACAAAAACTGAATTAACTACCATTTTTTTGAATTTTATTACTGTAATGCCTCTTGTCGGCTGGTCTCTGTCGCCATTACTGAGAACTGACTGACTAACGCAAACATGAACGATTGAAAAAACGTAGCTAAGGAAGAAGAAGAAACCTAAGATGACAAACAGTAACTTAAGTTTATACAAAGAGGACAAGGAGGTAGAGACATTTGCAAATTCAACTGAACTGAATTGATTATGAATTACTTCAGTTCTTATTTAGACATGTGAGGTTGGTAGATTGGGTGTTATGCGGATTCGTGACTGTATTAAGTGTTTTGAAGTTAGGTTAGATTAGGAAGGTAAAGTTTAGGTTATAATGAATCGTGTTGTTGATTTATCTCCAGACTATTTTTGCACTTCGAAAAAAGTACTACAAACACTACAGTGGAACCTCGATAACAAGACCCTCGATAACAAGTCACCATTGATAACAAGCGTCATTTTTAAGTTCCCTAGAATTTATTTTATCCCCAATCACATGTTATTGCAAACCTTGATAACAAGTCTTATTTTATAATCCCCATAAGAGTCTTGTTATCAAGGTTCTAACTTACTGTATAAATAATAATTTCAAAAATGTGCATCGATTCATTATAACCTAAACTTTAACTTCCCTAATCTAGCCTACCTTCAAAGGACTTAATACAGTCACGAATCCACATAACAACCAACCTACCTACCATGTCCTTTTTAACTTATAAAACAAATTTTAAGCTGTTTGAGAAGTTTAATTGGGTTATGTTAGGTTAGAACAGTGTCAATTTGTTGTTTATTCATTTTATTAAAACTCCCACTACACTAATTATCATAATGGGATATAACAGTAACATGGTCAAAAACTAAGCCAAGCCACTCGGTTAAGTGAAGAGAAGAACGAAATGAATTCCTTCTTCAATTTTCATAATCCAGTCCACTAGTCCAGATACAGATTAAATATGTCCGACCTAGAGGTGTTTATTAATGTTAATCAAATATTACTTATAGGCCTAGCCTATTTAAATTAACGTTTACCTTTCTAAGTGATCGCCGCTTGCAAGTGCCATCGCTTACTGGTGCCACCCAGGACTGGGTGCCGCCGCTTACGAGTGCTGCCGGTTACGAGTGCCACCGCTGCCACAGTCCGCTGACTGTAGGCGTGGACGCGACGGCACGGCGGTGACGGAAAACGACAGTAAAAAGGGCAATGATAAGATAGATTAGTTTGCAATGGTTAAAAGTAAAAGGAAACCAATGTAAGGACACAAAATGAAGACTTTACAAAGATATAAGTTTGAAGTCGTTATTTCTTATATTCAACCTTTATTCAACTCAAGCTCTGTATTTCAATATTAAGTATTTTAAAGTTTGTGAGATGGTAGCCATTTTCTATTTTAAATTTTAATTAAAATCCAAAAAATAACTTGCAGTGTTTTTTGATAAACACTCTATTTGGACTTGTTAGACTTAGTTTACATTTGAAAAAAATAATTACTTTTTGACCACACTAAGTTTAATTTGGTTTTTACGGCCCTAGGGTCACAAAACCAGTTGTTCGCTTACTTAATTAAAACATCAATGTATATAAAATATACAAGCAATATCCATATGCATTTTATGTCACCGCTACCTCGCAACTATGTTATTAGTACTTTTGCTGGTTCCTCTAAATTATTTCTTCACACATAACCTCTAAGTTGTAGTTGTGTTAACTGTTAATGTGCATTTATTGCTTGAAAATTACAACTTAAGACCCTCAATTTTGTATAGTGTGGTGAAAATGGCGTTCGTACCACGGGCCGAAAGGGTTTTACAACTCTTGACTTCGTCTTGAACTTAAAAAACTATCTCGAGCCGGCAAAACCTCATTTTTGGTCCTAGGTACGAAATATACTATGAAGGGGGCGGCTCGAAGAATAGTGCCTAGGGGTGAAATATGTATAAATACGTCTCTGTGTTTACGATGTTAAGATATATCATCTTTAACTTTTAACAGTACACCAAATAAAAGAAAAAATCCTGTCTAACAGAGACAAATTTAATAAAATTGCTCTGAGGAATGAATTCTTTCTGACAATTATAGCCTAATAAGTTGTCCCGAATGTCATGTAACACAAGCTTAAAATTAATTAAAATTCATTGAAAAAGAAATACTCCTGGTACATATACCAACCAAGTTAAATAATAAAAACAGTCTGCTTAAAAAGTTAAATAGAAACCTCTCATTTTATAAAGCTAATAACTTAGCCCCAAGTAGGCCTATTAGCCTAGGTCTACATAAACATTCAGATTCACAGATTGCTTCATTTGTTAAATACAGTAGGCTATGTATGTATTTATTTCTGCGGTGAAATAATTGTTATTCAAATAATAAGCAACCATGATAATACTCAGCGTTCAGCTTTAATTGAACTGGATAAACTCAAAACTCACCTAAGGTATTCAACTACATTTTTGAGGTTATGTCAAACAAATAATGGCCGCTGCGCTGCACTGCATTAGTTCAGATCGTTATCCAGAGTAAGTCTCAGCTACAGTATAAAGAAAACACAATAGAATAACCAAGAACATAAGTATAAATTATTTATCATAATATTTTACCTAGTTTGTATAGTTTTCCAAATGATGAACGCTTAGTAGATTACATTACAATTTCCAGTCCAAATAACTGATGTCATTTTTTTCCAACCCAAACTCAATATTCTCTAGGCCTTTTCTCTAATAATCTCAAACAAACACATACACAAACAAACTGACGACAATGACAAACTCCACTCCACTTCGATTCGTCGGGAGTCGAGAACTAGGAGGATTAAACATTAAGGAAGGAGAGGGCAGGTGAATAAGAATACACATGTTGCGGTGAAGCCAGCTTTAGCAGAACACTATTAAAAAAATAGAGGGGCACGGCACGCGAAGCCGTAGAGTGGCAAAAAGCCGCGGCTATAACATGTGAGAGATAGGGAAAAACGTGACGCGCGCTGTTTCGAATTAAAATTGCCGCTAAACTAAAACACCTGTGTTATTCACCGATGGCATTCTTAAAGTAAATTAAATTTCCGATCGAACAGTGTCAATCATTTCTATAAAAACTAATATTTATTATTTTATTATGAAAGATCAAAGTTGAAAGAATTGGCCTGGACTTTGGAACACACGATTACTTTAATTACGTTTTTGAAAAAAAAAATGATGTATCTATACAATAATACAAATGACAAATTTACTCGTGTTTCTAAACAGTTTCTCGAAATAAAAAATATACATTTAAAAGTGGTATCAGAAAAAATAATTAACAAGAATTTTTTAATTTTTCCAGTGTACAAAACAATCTTACTAATTATAGGTCAAATGAAAAATTTAATTCGGGTGGTGAAATGCATTTTTCATATTTTTCTCGATTTTTAATACAATTTTTTACTAGTTTTAAGGCGAATTTATGTGCTAGGCAGGTGATGTTAAAAATAGCCAAAGTTAAGAAAAAATGCAAAGCCGCTCTAACTTTTTTTACACCAACAGCCGTTACAATTAAATTAGAAACATAAAAAGTAAAACATTTTCTTGGCAATCAAATTCTTGATTTTTAAATATCTTATTGAACTATGTTTGATCTGTTTGCCCAAAGAAGCTTATAGAGTAAAAAGTGTAAATGTTCAACCATCGCGTCTTCCGACGCCAAAGTGCGTTTATCATTCTTTTAAAGGATTAAAACTTATTTTATTTATCCTTAAAAAAATGTTAAAATACACATACAATACGACTCATGATTTGAGTTTTAATTTATGAATATCATTATAAATAATACACAATATAAGTACCGTATGGTAAAAAATCAAAACAAGGACAACGAATTCAAAAAAACAAGTCATCCTTGTGTAAATAACTCACCTTTGAACGTAAATTACTCAAATAAATTGGTAAATTGGTCATCTCGTGAAATTCATAAAATTGGTCATTCGTAAATCTCGTAAATTGGTTAAAAAAATGACTTTCCTCTTAAAAGGTTCCTAATATTACGGTTAGATTTTAAGTTTTTAATTTTCGTAGCATGATGTAGTCTAGTTTTTAAATAGTTAATAAATTAATATTTCTGTTACCAAATCTCCCACTAACCTATACAATGCAGTATGAGAGGTGGAGCGGGAGAGTAGGACTGCCTCCCCCCTCCCCAGTACGCTGACTTCAATGAAATCCTCCTAGGCCGAGACTTGACTTCGTCTCGTCTACCCATTGAGATAAATAGATTATAACAACTGGAGTCACTTCTCTCTGGTTAAACTTTAGAGTAAAACGTTTAATTGTTTAATCCTCCTAGGTTTTTGCTGGGTTGTTTTCGGTGTTTCGTGTTAGGTTTGCTGTGTGATCGGTTGGTGGGATCTGGGATGCTGTCAAATTCCAATTCATTATAACATTGACATTATAATCATTGACAAAAAGTTAGAGCTACCAGCCGGATTCGAACCCGGTACATTCGGATTATCGGCTCGACACGCTAGCCACTACACCACAGAGGCCGATGGCCCAATGCCGTATCGTTGCGGCAATAGTATTCAAATCGGTAATAGTATTCAAATTCAATTTATAAATCAAACTGTGAAACTGGACATTGTTTTCGACCCATCATATTTATATTTGTATTACTTTTGTATTGGTGTATCGCCGCTTGTAATAAATAAATAAATATTCCCTCAGGTTCGGCCACACGGGTGTTTTTTTCACGCACAAACGCAGCGTGAAAACACGCGAAAAATTAGAATAGCATTGAAACAAATAGGCGCCCACTACTTCGGGAAAACACACTGCGTGTGGCATACCTCATTACATTTAATGCTGCTTATATTCCTCACGTTTTTTCACGCTGTCTTCTTGCGTGAAAAAACGCCCGTGTGGCCGTAGCCTAAAAGTGACGTCAGCAGAGTGACATCAAACGGCACCTGAGAAATCTTCCGTGTGCCGTTTCGATAATAATGTTGACATATTTTTTTTACTATCAACAAAACAACAGGACGACGCCATTTTGATCTTGCGTCTAATACTCTAATTTGACCACTAGAGAGCGAGAGAGAGGAGAGGAGAGCAAGTATTGTAGTGTAGCAAACGCAGACTGCAGACCGTTTTTCTGATCTAGTGATCTGATCCGATATGTACCTATTGAAATATTTGTACGCCTCTGAACAACTATTTTGGTTGAATTAGGTTTATCGCTAAAAAAATTAGTTTTAATACTTTTATTTCACGATTTTTTGTGACTGTTAAAAGATGGAAGCACTCATTCCTGTTATAAACAAGCTACAAGATGTATTCAACACAGTAGGAGCCGATGCTATTCAGTTGCCTCAGATTATTGTGGTCGGAACACAGGTTAGTTATTTATGCATCCCATTTTAGGCTAATCTTGACATGTACCGGTGCTCAATAATTTAATTTCCGTTTTGGAGTTGGGGATTTTTGACATCAACAAGGTCAGTTGAACATGAAGGGGATCTAGTTTTTGAGTAACTTTGGCTACCATAGGCTACCTGATTGTTTTATTCAACCATAATATAAGTTAGGCCTAGATCAGTATAACTGCAATAGGCAGAACAGCTGCAGTTCATGCTAATGAAAGGCATGTGTCCAGACCACAACTTTAGGAAATGGCAAGCGAGGTAGGCTATGACGATTTCTAGTTTTTCTGCAGGAACATATAGGCTTCTACAAAACAGGCAACTCCAAAATATTTCATGTTTCTTGCCAATGGAAAACGATCATTCAATGGGCTATTTAGGCCTACAAAGGGCAGCAAATCTTCGATATCTGTCTCCGTCGGATTATCAAACAATGAAAGTATTGATTCAATTGGTAACCAAACTAAATTAACTAACCAAAACCCAAACTTTATATACTAGTATCAATTGTGACAACTGATAATAGGCCTAGGATGAGGTTTGGTATTAAAGTTTTGTCCCCAAAGCCTTGTGAACTACAAAAAAATAGGTAACTTACTTTGGTATCATGAGGCCACATATTTTACAGCCCACTGCGGCAGTTATGTTAGGTTGGGTATAATATGTGTAGGACTTTCCCCATTTCGTTGTGGATCAAATTATATCAGGTGAATCATACCTACTTTCTATATGATAACCCAACCTAACATAACTGCCGCAGCGCGATGTACAAGGGTGGTCTCCGTATAATAACTTACCAAAGTACAGTACCGGTACCAAAAAATGTAAGGTTAAAATTAAGTTACCCTAGTTTAATTTTTATAAATAGGCCTATCATATTTGATACTTTTTAATCCTTCAACTGGCAGTGCCACTGTAATAGTCACGTGACCAATATCAAATAACGTGTGGTGATGTCCTGTTTCATGACAAGAGTCGACGTAGATTGCTAAACACCTACAGTAGATGCCATTATTTTACAATAAAACACACTAATATAGCACAAAATTACAGTTAACAAACGTAATGAGTGAGTCAAAATCCACCAGGTATAGTTTCGGAACGAGTAACGATAATTACAAACGGATTGCACCACCAAACTGCCACTGTCATACACGAAGCACGGACAAAAATACTCCGACCTACTCCGGAGTGCGGCTGCACTCGAACCGAATAAGTTTGGCGCAGCGTGGCGGAGCGCGGACCTACCGCCCGGGCGGTAAAACGCATGCAATGTGTTAAGTTAAGTTCTAGGTTATAAGGTTTTGTTACTCCAAATAACTCATATGGCTAAAAACTACTGTGCAATATTAAATGATTTGTAGGCTACAAATTGAAAGATTTATCTTAACCCTAATCAGGCGAATTAGGCCACGGCCCAGGTGGCAGCGCCCGATATCGGCCGTTAGGTAAAACGCCGATTTTAACCTCGTATTTAATTGAATCTCAGTTCATATAGTACCAATGGGGAGGTAACTGCTCGGTGTTGGAATCGGCATTTCAAGTAGGCCATAGTCATGGACGACTGGGAAGGCCAGCCCCTTAGGGGGAGCGCCCAGTGACATTCCTCCATTCAGGTTGGTGGGGTGTTTAGCTCTCGGAGAGGTGGAAGTGTGCCATCAATTCTCCCATCTACCTGTGACTGTAGTTCTATGGGTTTCGGCCAGCTTGCTGTGTGTGATCAACATTTTGTGTGGCAAATCCTCGACTTTGGAAGTAGCCTTTCCTGGAGGTGAAATCAGGCGAGTACCCGTAAGCTCATGGGGACACTCTAGGGGAACGGAACTTTCCGCAGTGTGAGGGCAACGGCTGGGCGCACTCCATCAGCCAATCCCTGTCTCTGAGCCCGGAGAGTATGGTTATCTACAGTGTGGGGGGTTCTCCCTGGAACCTCAATTGAGTTAAGGGTATCGCCACCTTTGGTGGATAGGTTCATCCGGGTGGGTTCCACTTCTATACCTGCCTCCTTTTGGGAAACCCTGATGGCCTGGCAGTGATGTTGGGCTAGATGGGCAAACGAAGTAGATCGGGTGCTGGGATCAAGCCCGCTATGGGTATCTGGGGATCTATCACCCTGGTTATCCCTGGTTTCCCAGTAATGGGTTGGCCTCGATTGGGTAGTGGTGGAAATGGGGGGTTGGTCCTCTTCCTCCTGGCTTTGATGGCGGGTTTCGGCCTGTCAGGGATTAGATAGGTACCGAGTGTCGCTTGCACTGTGTTACGTTCAGGGCATTCCATTGTGGTCCTTCAGGGTTTCGGCCTTGGTGGAACCCAATTGGAGTGTACGTGCGACCAAGTAACCGGTATCCCTGGTTAGGATTGAGGGGTAACCCTCTTACCGAAGGGTTGCTTTGGCAGCCGGTGAGCTTGATGACCTTAACCCTAGAGCTGGCACTAGTGTAACGCTGTACTGGCATAGGGATATTATTGATTATGTAATATCATTTTTAAACCATCATAAAAATTAGAAATAGCAACATAACTATGGATTGTTATATATCATTTTGTTCAGAATAAGACAAAGAACAATAATATAGGTGATTTACATGGTTACCACAAACAAATTTTTTTTAGTTTTTCCAAATTGTGGGCGTTATTAATTATTTTATAAAATGTTAAATATATTCCGTCGTATAGCTAAGTGCATGTAAGACTTAGTATCATAAGGTAAATTGTAAAGTTGTAATAAATTTTGTGCTGATTCCAAAAATATATAGTTTATATAGCTTATTTTGTGTATACCCAGGTCATGTACAAAACCGTACACCTTATATAATATATAATTCCAGGATACTCCGGTTTGTATTATTTAACTTATTTATTACAACAGTAGCCCAAAAAAGTTAACAAAACTAAAAAAAAAAAATTATATATATGCCTACCGTAACACTGGCATTGGCGCCGTATATTTCGCCATTTCGGCCGCGGCCGTTCGCGCCGTATATCCGGCGTTCGCCAGCGCTAGGGTTAAGTCATCCACCCATGGTGTGTTCAAGGTTGGTGCGCAAGCTCCAGCCGTCACTATGGGGCCCGGGTTATGTTTAATTATAGGTACCGGGTGGCCATTGGGAGTCCTTGGCTCCTTCGACAAATAATAATAATAATAAAATAGTACCTATGTATTTGAATTATAAATAACCGGCCTGTCGATTGATATTCATTTCATCAGGGCCTTAGGAATATTTTTCTTTTTCCCATTTTTTGACAGTTGATGCTGCTAAGTTTTTATTGCACATTCGACATTTGCCGGCGTGTTTTGTTAGTTTGTTTGTGTATGTTTTGACCTGTGAAACATGTAATTATCTTTTTTAATTGTTAAAATGTCTAGGCTTGATAAAAACTTTCGAGATCGGTCAAGTGACTTGCGTGAACTAATTTTTGACCCGATTCTTTGTGGTGAAGAAAGTGGTGACAGTGAACCAGAGGAACCTGAATTAGGCCTGGCCCGAAATGTCACTTAGAACGACGATAGTGAAGACGAACATAGCCTTACTGACTTTTCATCAGGTGCGAATTATGAACCCGACAAGGAAGAATTATCTGAGTGGAATAGGGAATATGAAACTGACTTTGATGCACAGGTAGGAAGGCCTGAGGAGCCTAAACCCAATATGCCTCCCTTGCTTCCTGAAAATATGCCTGCAGGTAGGCCTAGGCCTAATGAATTACAAAATATTCCTACCCCTATACCTATATCTAATGATCCTAGATGGGTTATAGTTTACCCCCAGACCAAGAATAGATTCCTGGATTTCTAGTTTGGGAGGGGACTACTGAAATCCAAAACAGCCCCCTCGAAACTCTCCCCATTGGCATATTTTTTATGCTTTTTACGCAAACAATTTGGAGAATGCTTGAGAGAGAAACCACTAAATATGCTGGCATTATTATTGAGATTGCTAACAACTCAGGAACAATGAGACGGAACAGTAGGACGAAGCCATGGGTTGACATACAATTAGAGAAATGAAGAAATTCATTGCTGTCATGCTCAACACATGGGACTTGTATACAAACAAAACGGCATGATCCAGGGCCAAGTTGACCTCGGTGCTACACTAAACTGCTGGTGGAGCCACGGTACATGTGAGGACGCTGCAGATTGTAGTTTGTACTCTGCTGCTAGTGGAACCACCAACTGTCGCGTGTAGCGCGCTACAATTTGCAGCGTGACAATTTACGGCAAGTGGAGCCGCAGCCTTAGGCTAGTTTGTTGTACAACCTGACACTATTCAATGTATTTATAATATATTGTACAAAATAATGAAGAAAGAAGTTTGATTTGAACTGAATTGAATTAAAATCATTAGTTCTAAATGTGTTACGTGTGCATCAGAATCACAATGAACCTAGTTTAACATTTGAGATAATAAGCACATCAATTATGTAGATATCAGCAAGTCTAATGAGATCAATCTTTCAGTCAGGCATTTGTTTGCCAGCAATATTCTCAATTAGTCTATATTGATATTGTTTAGATACCTAAGTTAATGCTAATGATAATATACAGTTATTATCACAATTTATGTTTAATATGACTCTATAGTAAATTCCACTGTGATATTCTTATGAAACCAATCAATTATAAACCCTACATGCCTGCCTAAACAAACAACCATGATTTAATTTGTTTGACTTAATTTTCTGTAATAAGTTAGGAATTTTTTAATAATGTAATTTGTTGATTTTTAAAATCAAGTTTTATAACTTAGAATATTTAAATAGTAAAAAATTATGTTCAAAAACATTTATTTTAAAATATGGGACATCTAAAACTGGAAAAACAATTTTTTCCTACAAGCCCTAGTGGTCTAACGGTTTCTTCTAACTTTTCTTCTACGGTATTGTAAAACACACACCACCAGAAATCACTCATTTATGATGATTTACATACAACTTCGTAATAATACTTTTTTTCCTTGTCCAAAAACATTTATGCACAACTAATATTGTATATTTAGTCTTAGAAGGAGCCTAATAAAATCACCCTATGAAGCAACCGATAAAAAAATACTGCTCCAATAGTCGTAGCAGTTTTATCCCAGTACTTGTGATTGATGTAATATTTCTCTGCTACATTTTTAGGTTTTACATGAATAGATTGTTGTCGTTTTTATAAAATTTTTAATCGGTATAGCTTAAATATATAAATTGTCCATGCATGCATGAAATATAGCTATTAATGTAAAAAACCTTTACCTCAAATAATGTTTATGAGTCGGTAGGCCTACTGGTAATTCGATCAGTTATGAGACGCAGTGTCGTAGGGATTACTTTGGAAACCGGTAGTTTTTTTTTTTTTTCATTCTGCGTTGGTGCATAGGCTACCTTGTGGCATATTGTGATATTTTTACCATTTCCCATTAACCTTGAGGGTATTTATTCCCTTTAAAAATCACAACTTATGTCAACACAACACTTCTTACAACAAATTACGAATTATCCTATTAAAATACTAATTGTTGAGTCTTTCAATCCTATGATAGCACCATAGAGTGCCAAAATATATTAACCAACATAAAACGTTTGTAATTCATTGTGAAATAAAAGTGTTTTTTGACATAAGCTGTGTGCTAAAGTGCTAATTAACAACACATCATGCAATATGATTAAATATGTCGGATGGCGAAGGGGGTGGGGGGGGGGGTTTGGCCATTTATACTCCAGGGTGCTTCAAACTCGACTACACCACTGCGTGGACAGCAGCTGTATTCTTAAACCTAACTAGAGAATTTTATATAAATTATTTTGATCATTATAGCCACAAGTTCCTTCAAGAATGTTTATAAGTCAATTAATTTCCATTGGTTTTCACATTTTATGTTATTTTTAGTTAAAAGCTTAATGTAGCGACTGACAGGAAGACTGTCAATGCTTGTCGTGATGTTACCTAAACCAGAATTAAAGACTTAAATGTGTGTAGCTTGGTAGTTATGTACAAATTACTGAAAAATAATCAATAAAAACCTTATCATTATTCATGTTTTCAGAGCTCTGGAAAAAGTTCGGTGATAGAGAGTTTAGTTGGACGCACATTTTTGCCTCGTGGTACTGGAATTGTGACAAGGTGCCCATTGGTGATTCAGCTCAACTATTGTCCCAAAGATGACCGAGAACGCAGGAGCTCAGAAGAAGGTAAGTGACATCGCCATCTATTGGATAATGGCATTTTACGGGGTTTTTTTACAATATACGACGGTTTTTTTTATGTAAGGGCTGTTTTTGCATATAGCTTTATAGTTCACGAGGCACACAAGGTCACAAAGATATGACTGAAACCAATTTAGACAATTTTTTGATTTTCCTAAAGATTGTATTTTTTGTAATAAAATTGGGTGCTTTACACTGTCATAAGCTTTAGACAAGTCCAAAAAATGCCAGTTGTAAATTTTTCTTTGGTTAAAAGACTCAATTACAGATTCCACAAATGAGACTGTGGCACTAACAACTGATCTACCAGATCTAAAGCCATGTTGAATATATCATCCAATAAATTGTGTTTTTATAAATAATTACTTAACTGTATTGAAGCTATTTTCTCAAAAACTTTAGATAAAGATGGAAGCAGAGATATTGGCTGACTGTTGTTTACATCTGAAGCATCACCTTTTTTTGCTACCGGGATGATTTTAGATTTGTTAATAGTCTATCTGCTATACTTTTACATTTCAAATTATTTGGAATATTCAAAGTATCAACATTTGGATTACTTCAGACATTCCCCCTGTTAAATTTGGCAGTATATTTTTGACTGCATTTTAATGGCAGTTAAGAAAGCTGATTCTCGTCCTTCAGATTATATTTCAACCCTTCATAAATACAATACTCGACATAAAGACTCCATAATAACATATAAACATCAAACTAAATTTTTTGAAAAGAAACCTTCCTACACCGGTCATAGATATTTAAATACAATTACAAAAGAAATTAAAAAAGAAAATAATAAAAACAAATTGAAAAATGATTAAAAGAATATCTGATTAAAATAGCTCCGTATTCTTTTGACGATTTTCCACCCATCACAGTCATAATGAATACATGAACAATTGTGTAACTTTTTCAGTCTTCTGCATAGAGTGGATGAGATTGTCACTTAGGCTAGTTTGAGTTGTTGTACAACCTGACAAGTATTATTCGATGTATATATTGTACAAAATAATGAATAGGCCTAAAGAAGTTTGAATTGAATTGTCTTTAACTATACTATAAAAATAGTCATTAAAATAATCTTTGAATTTGATACTTTTGCAATAAATTTTGAAATACTAAACATAAATTTTTTTAGTAGAAAGTTAAACAGTCCATTGGATTATTTTTTGTTTAATCAAGTTTTAGTTTATAAACTTATTTCAAAGTGTCTCAGTTGTTACTAGAGGGTGTTGTGTATGTGTGTAGCCCCCACATTATTTACTTGCTCGCTGTGTCCATCCCCTCCTCAGTGCTTCCATCCTCTCATGGCTGCCAATAGAAATGTATAAATTTATGTTTTCTTGTGTTAACTGATATTTGAAAAGATCTCTTGAAGCATTTAAATGCTATGAGCATTTTAATTATTGTTATATCTGTTTCAGGCACACTAAATATAGAGGAATGGGGAATGTTCCTTCACACCAAAGGCAAGATATTTAGTGATTTTAATGAGATTCGGAATGAGATTGAGCAAGAGACCAACCGTAAAGCAGGACATAATAAGGGAGTGTGTTCAGAGCCAATTGTTCTTAAAATATACTCTCCTCATGTTCTCAATTTGTCATTGGTTGACCTGCCTGGCCTCACCAAGGTAAGCAAAAAGGCCTTTATTTGGCAAAGCAAGTTTTTTGTGTAATTATTTCTGCTTTTAAGTTTACACAAAAGTTGGCAGCAATGGAGAAACTGGTCATTACTGACATTGATGAAACAAGTATATAACAATCATAACTGCAATTAGTATAATTTATACTAGTGCTGGAACAAGGTACAATACAGTTTCATATCAATATTGATCAAATCCAAATTAATATTGACCACTAAATGTTTCAAATTGATCTAACATTCATATTTACATCAGTGTATGGAGTTAATTTGTTTTAATGTTTGTTGCCTATTAGGGGTGTGCGATGCATCGAAAATGCATCGAAATTTCGATTCGATTCGATGCATCGAATCGCGATTCGATTCAGTGGTGGTCAAAAAACGATTCGATTCATGAGGGAGTCAGTATCCATATACGAAAAACGCCTGCAGAAAGTCAATGCAATACCCGCAATACAGGAGCGCGTTGCTGTTGCGTTTCCTTTACGAAGGCGTTCTTATTTAATACATTCTTTGCATTAAATATAGCTTTAATTGTTTTATAATTTTTTTTTGACATTGCAAATGATGAGAGGTTTTGTTTTTTGTCTTGATGTAAGCAGTGTGAGACATGTTTTACTACTGTTTAAACCTTACCAAAACAAGATAGGCTACTCCAAAATCATTCTAAAAATAAGTCTGAAAAATTGTTACTTAATACTTAACTAGCAAGATTGATGTTTTAGTCTGATAAATTTGGTATTTTTGTTAGGGGTCTGTGGGTCCCCGAATTTTTCAGGTCAGGTCAAAGATTTGTTTGAAAAAAAAAGAATAATTTATTTCCAAAGAAACACTCTTATATTAGGCCTATTATATCTATTATTACAGAGGAATTAAAATGTTCAAATGAGAATTAAAGTTTAAGTTTGGCTCACGACCTTTAAGAATAAAGACACAACAGAGCAATTGCCGCACTGCCACTAGCCAGAGCCAGTCTAGTCGTCTACTGACAAGAGTGACGAGACAAAAGCCGTGACGCAACACTAACAGTGCAAAGAAAAGAAAAAAAAAGACTATTTATACAGACATACTAGTTTAATCATTTATTCCATACCTAATTAAAAATATATTTTAGTATTTTACATAATATAAACAAAAGAAATATCTGATATAGTAAACAGATCTGTATCTTGGTTAGATGGGGTTTAAAAAATATATTTTTCTAAAATCCAATACAATATTTACAACTCACAAATTACAATGAATTAATTTCTTTAAAAATGATCTGTTATAGTTTTGTGTTTTTGAATAAAGAAATATATTTTTTTTGTCTCTACTTCCTTGTTTCATCACTTGCATTTGTCAGCAATTGGAGCAACCGGGTAGCAACCGGGTGGTGTAAGAGGGGAGGAGGAGGGTCTATGACCTTGAATGCACACATAGTTGCCCGGGCCTGGCTGGTGAGAGGGATTCATTGTTTTTGTTGACATACTACTACCCTTCCTTCAGAGAAAAAGACCCTGCTGTTCCAAAAACATTGAGGGTAGTTTAAAAACATTGACCTGTGTTGCTAAGGGCACTAGAAGTTAGCATTTAACTTTCTTATCTCTTGATTTAATATTATTTTAATCTTCTATATATATTATTTAAGAGTTACTTTTCGGGTACCTAATTAATTGAGATATTGTTTGGCTTTATTTTATGGATTTTTAATTCTTTTCATTCATTAGCTATCAAAATCAGTTGTTTTAGGATTTTAATCTCTTGCAGTAGGTCTATACTACTGTATGACATGATATGCATTTGTTAGTCCTTACTAATTATACCATAAACAATGTTTGTATGTTATTTACTGTTTTTGAGTTTTATAGGAAATTAGTTTACACAATATCTTTTCTTCAATGAGTTCTCCACTTGTCATGTTGCTTCTAGCCTATTACTATTTTAGGCCCTATAAAAAATAATGCCTATGTAAAGCTGTAGGCCTACTGATGCCAATAATAGATAATTCTTTATTTATGATGATGTAACAAATAATGTAAGTGTGAGGTTATTATACTAAGGAGGTTAGGAGGCAGGGAATGAATGATACATGTTGTATGGTGGAAACATGTTATTTTTATTTTCTTCTTGCTTGCAGTCCTGAAGCCAGTCCACAGGCCCTAAACTTGTGATATGTTAATTGATTTGTTAATGGTCTTTTTTATATTAAGTTCCATTCAAATTTGTTGTAATTTAGCTACCTATTTAGTTATTTAAACAGTTATTAAAATGAGAATGAATGTCTTGATAAAAAAAATTATTTTCTTCTTTCTTGCAGTTGAGCCAATTCCAAGTAAAAATTATGAAATAGGCAAGTAAAGCAGCTCACTGGTATTTCCAGCAATACAGGTTATTCTAATATATGATTTAAAATAAATATTTGTTCACCTAAAATTCATATGTTAAATATGAATAGGCCTAATACCACATCAACAAAAATTTGTCTTACACATATGTGGTAAATTTTAATTTATTTTTAATCCACTCAATTGACAATTATGAATAGAAAAATACCGTATTGCTTCGAATCGAATTGCATCGAATCGAATCAAAAATCTTTTGAATCGAATCGTTGCTTCGAATCGAAAATTTTTTGCTGCTTCGCACACCCTTATTGCCTATGAAACATTATGTCTTTTGTTGAAAGTGTACTATTCACATTCATGTTATTATGTCAGATTCAGTGGTTTTGACGATCACTAGTTAATAAGCACTAATTTAGGAATGCTTTTAGGTTCCAGTTGGGGATCAGCCTGAAGACATTGAGCTACAAATCAAGAAACTAGTCGTGAAGTACATTAGCAACCCCAATAGTATCATATTGGCAGTAGTAACAGCAAACACAGATATGGCTACAAGTGAAAGTATCAAGATAGCAAGAGATGTCGATGTTGATGGACGCAGAACCCTGGCTGTAGTGACCAAGCTGGACCTCATGGATGCTGGTATGTAAATACTCGGCAGTGATAAAAGAAGAATAGATATTTCATTACAAATACCAAAAGTTAAATTTTCCTGTGGTCTATAGTTTCATGTGTGAGGCAAAGCCAAATACAGGAAAACCGAATTTCATGTACAAAGCGAAGCTGAACAAGCACACAAGTATCGTAAAACACCTTTTTACATTTTTGTACGAACGATACTTTTCATCACGATGCAAAAATAGACACACAAACAAACCTCAGTAAGATTAAAACTATTATTTTCTCAATTAACTTTTAGCGAATTTCCCTATGGGGAAATAGGTCGCACAGTAAGACCTGGGACCCGAACCAATTTAATTTTTATTTTGATGTCCTCAGAGGTAGAAACTCAATTCGCTCAAATTTTTACATATTTATGTGTGTGTGTGTGTCCGTGAACACGATAACTCGGATGATAAATTTGGTTTGATTTTTATAAAATTTGGCTTGAAGGTGTTGGGCGGGATAAACTTGAATGAGTTTGTCAACCAGCAAGATCGGGTCATGAGGTGCATGTCATTTTCAAAAAATTACTAATCTAAAAACACAATTTTAAATATGCGTAGCTTACCTGGAGGTGAATTCTGCACTGTAAATGGCTTTTTTTTATTCCGCCAAATAATTCTTAAGTAGTTCATATTAGGCCACATGACTATTTCACTAACACTATATTTAAGGAACTGTTCACTTGCTTTGAAAATACTTATTATTTACATATTTACAGCTAGTTATTTTAATTTTTTTTATTGAACGTTGACAGAAAAGAGAGAAGCGTTTATTAACTCCCCCCTTCTGCATGGTGTAGGTTCTGGTAGGATTTTGAGCACATCATCTTCAGGAATGACTGAACAGTCTTCTTTTTCAGGCCAGTAAAACATGTTGTCACCTTTTTTCTTATAAACTTAACGACAGGCTCAATGTCATCGACAAATTTTCATTGCATTTAGGGGGGCTATGTACACTTACCCTGGGGCTGGAAGTACACTTACCCCAACCACTGTTTGGCCCGGGGAAAGTGTACGCCCCCCCCTTTTTTTTTTACAATACATTTTAGAGGTACATAAACCACAATTTTGGATTCCTCTTACAAAACTATATAATATATGATATAATATAATATATAATATCAGTGTACCAATTTTCAAATTTCTATTTCTATTTTTTGTTTTTATATGATTTTTCAAAATTTGAAGGCAGTAGCCTACTTTCGTAGTAAGTAGAAATTCAAAGGTGTTTTAAAACTTAATTTTCATGTATAAATAATTATAAATGTTGAATTCTGATTTCAGAATCTGAATTATCACATTTCAAATCACATAAAAAGATTAATTAAATTTTTTTTCCATTTATGGCTTATTTATAGTCAACGCCTCCACTTGCCCGTGCGTACACTTACCCCACTTCACCCTAGTTTAGTATATTGAAATGTTTTTTGTAAAATTAAAGCATTAAAGGCTACAGAGAAAATTCCAAAAGACTGTACATTTTTCATGGTATTCTTATGAAGAAAAAGAAAACTGTTGTGGTTTGCTTGTTTATGGATAGGCCTATATGTTGATCAAATTTATCAATTTTTTTATTTCATCTGATAATTAAAATTTTTACAAAAAAGACTTTTTACCTTCCCCGTAGCAGCAAACCTATGTATTCAATACAGCTGATGATATTTAAATGGGAAGAATGGAAATAATTGGGTAAAAATCCAATAAGTAAAATTGAAATTCCTTTAGTCTGCAAGATTTGCTCTGGTGGGACAGTTTCATATAAAATTAGTAACTTCTATAACATTTGGATGTTAGACATATTTGAAGGAATTTAAAACAAACACTATGCTAAAAGCATAGCAAAATTAGCCCATGCCTATATCTGTTTATATTGAGATTGTAAAAGAAGTTGATTTAAATAATAAAAATGAATGTTAAAGAAACAGTGAGAGTAGTAGGCAAAAAGAGAACTTATTGAGAACATTGGAAAGTAAATTTAGAGCAAGGGATTACAGTGGTATATATTATTACTACAGTAGAACCTTGACTGACCGGGGGCGGATCAACCCGGGCGGCAGATTAACCGTGGTCAACAGATGCCTCTAAAATTAGGTTACATAACCTCATTGTCCAAGAAAATGTTATTAAATATGTTTCTTTAGTCTAATGTGTATGCATTGTATATTTCACTACAGTAGATTCCCTCTAGTTTGGCCACCTTGGGACCGGACCACTGGCCGAACTACAAAACGGCCGAATTAACCGGATGTAGTGCATTTTACATAATCAAAATACAAATAATAGTATTGAGCAATCATGATATGTTAAGTCAATAACCTTGGTTCAGTAATAAAAACTGTAACGTTTAAAATCAAGCTTACTCAAGCAAAACAAAAATTACACAACACTGTACGTACAGCAATAAATCACGTAAAGAACAGAACAATAGAAAGTCTAGTACTGCAAGCCACTGCTACCGTAGTCAGCATAGGCTACTACTACATGTTGTTTCAGAACATAAGAATGTCGATAAAAACATAAGATAACTCATAAAACAGCATAAAATCATAGTACTTAGTCTTAAAGATAATAACGACAGTCGTCAAATAGGTAATGATAACAATGGATGACGTAAAACACCGCTTATTCTTTCTTCTTTGTTCTTTTATTCTTTCTTTGGTTTCTCTTCATCCACACATTCATCAAGTTGCCATGGTTACTAATCACCCAAGCACAAACTGTTGTGAGATAGCAAACAAGTGCACAGCAGACATCAGTTGTGTAAAGAGCAGAGATTGTCAGTGCAAGCGGATAGCTTGACCTTTAAGCTAACGATGGCTATTTCTTTATTTTGCTTTAATTTATTTTTGTCAAATAAACTGTGGTGTTTCAAAAATAATAATGGTGGAACCTATCGCATAAAAAAATGGTCCGAAATATTTAATTATACACTGTATTTCAACATATTAGACCGAAGAAAAACTGTTTATAAAATGTTCTCGGTATTTTTGAGGTTATGTAACATAGTTTTTCATAGGTAATATGCAACAATTCACCCATAGAAGCACCCGTCAACCAAACAGACATGAATTGTTTACTTCTATGGCCGGAAACTAAACATTCAAGTTGAATCCTGTCGAAAACAATTCACCCGTGACGATATGACTTGTCCCCCTAAGACCGGGCCGGACCATCCGGCGGCCGATCCAACCGAAGCCGAACTAGAGGGAGTATACTGTATTCTGCCAATTATTTGACAAAAATAAAATGGAAGCAAGACAAAGAAATATCGATCGATAGCTTCAAGGTCAAGTTATCCGCTTGCAATGACAATCTGCTGGTCAAGCTATCTGCTTGCACTGACAATCTCCTTGCACTAACAATCGTCTGCTCCTTACACATCTGTCTGCTATGCGCTTGCTATGTCACAACAGTTTGTGATTAGGCAATCAGTAACCCTGACAACTTTAGCAGCCTTTGATTGGGTGATTTGTAACCGTGGCAACTTTAGTAGCCTTTGGTTGGGTGATTTGATTAGTAACCATGACAACTTGTTGAATGTGTATATGATGAAGAGAAACTCAAGAAAGAATAGAAGTACAAAGAATAAGCCATGTTTTATGTAATTGTTATCTTTATTTTATTTTACGATTGTTAAGCTTATCATTATCGTTAAGTACTGTGGTTTGATACTTTTTGATGAGTTATCTCAAGTTTTTATCAACATTCTTCTGTCGTAAAATAGCATGTAGCAGCACCGGTAGCTAATGACTAGCAGTAGGTACTCAAATTTCTACTAATCTATTCTTAACGTGATTTATTGTTGTACAGTGATTGGGATTTTTTTGTTTGAGTAAAAGTTTGAGTAAGCTGTAATTTTATTTACAGATTACAGTTTTTATTACTGAACCAAGGTTAATGACTTGAACATATCATGATTGTGCATTTTGATGATTTAATGTAAATTATCACATTAAAGTCCATTTCCCTCCCACCCAATACCCCGGATAATCGAGGTTCTACTGTAGTACAGAAAGTGGCATTTTCCTGTGTAAGGCAAAGCCAAACACAGAATCACCAAATTTCTAAATTTTTTTACGAGATAAAGCTGAGCATGTGAAAGTTATTCTCACGTAAAAGGCAAAGCCGAGGACAGAATAATTACAGCAAGCGATGGAAAATCACTTTTTGGTACAAGCTATGGACAATACTTTTCATCATTTTGCAAAAATATGCACATACAGAACAACAGACCTCACTAAAATTAGAACCATTATATTTCCTACCATTATATTTTCCTTGTCCTCAGCTTATGCTTAAATTATTGCTTTTTGATCTAATCCAGTTTTAGCAAAAACACACTCCATTCAAATCCATGTAGCCTATTGCTCGTTAGCACGATAACTCAAGCGAAAAAGATCTGATTTTGATGAAATATGGTACCAACCTGTAAACCTACGCTTTTTACAGGTAGGGAACCAGCAGCTTATGGGAACGGGGGTTTATAGGGGGTTTTATGGTAAAAATTGGGTTTTCTCACTTCTAGACTATTTTGTAGGGATTTAAAAAAGAAATAATTTTGTATACTGAAGCGTTGTTGTATGCCTAGAACAGTTACGGAGAAAATTAAAAAAAGTATACATTTTAAATTCCTATGTTATTCTTATAGAGAATAAATAAACTATTTAGTTTGCTTGTTTATGGATATATTTTAATCAATTGGTAATTTTGTTTATTTCATGCTGAGCTATCAACATTTCAAGAAAAATCTTCCCTGTAACAGCAAACCTAAATAAATTCCCATAAAAATGAATGTTATTTAAATAGGGAATAAATCTTATAATTTGAAGGGAATATTTTAGTGGTAATCTCGGCAGGTAAATGTAAATTTTTTTTAGTCTGTAGGTTTGCTGCGGCGGGGGTTTTTGCACTATGGGGTATATTTAATCCGCAACATGCACACTACTAAGACCACTGTAATCAATCAACACTCAAGTGTGTTCGTTTACTGTTGCTTTTCTTGAATCTTGTAATTATATTGAAAATGTGAGATATGAGCCTTTTATATTGTCCTATTTTGAAGTTCATTTATTGGCATTACTGATTTAAGTAAAACAAACAATACACATTTTAATTCCATGTTTACATGCTTTGAGTTTTAATACACCTTTACCTATTCATTTAAAATATATTGAATACAATTTTGTTTTACTCAAGTAAATTCATTTTTCAGGTACAGACGCCATTGATATTCTATGCGGTCGAGTGATTCCTGTTAAACTGGGTATCATTGGTGTTGTTAACAGGTCGCAACAGGACATTAATGACAAAAAGGTACTTTTTACTTATCTTTATTAATACAAAATTAAATGCAGCTTGCAAAAGGTCAAGTAATTTTGTAAAACATTGAAGAATTCCCCTTTAATGTTTTAAAAATACCTCATTTTAAATCTAGTACAGTAGCTCTTGGTTTTCCCAGACCTGAACCATCCGTGAGTTTGTCTAGTGTCAAAAAATATCTAAATTATAACCAAAATTCGGGCTTACCCTCTATACTCCATTTGACCGTGCAGCAACTCCCCATAAGCCATGTATTTTGAATGGCAGTTTCAGCAACTTTAGTCGCTCTAATGTCAGCAGGGCTGCAAACTATCTGATGTTTTAAACATTTTTCTTTTTTTTAGCTTTTTCGTACGATTTTTACTACTATATTAGTTCAGATTTTTTACTATACCAGAGTCAACATCTAAATTAATTTAGGAAAAAAATCTATTTATAAAATGCTTTAAGGCCCAGAAATGAGTAGAATTTTATTTAGAGCTTCCACAAGGGCAGTAATGCCACCTGTATAACAATGAACATGATGTTTCCAGTAACGTTAGTAGCACGATTGCCATCCTTATGATCTGTACTGCACGGTGAACGTGAAATTGAGTATAGTATAGCTATTTTAAAATGGCCTACCAGTTTTACCCATACATGACTCAGTAGGCTATGTCCACTCTGTGTTCAACCCTCTCCTTCCATTTGTGATAGTTTCACTAGGCTCTGTTTTGTATTATTTCTTATTTTTTAGCATTCCTGTTGGTCTATGTTCTAGTCAATTAAAGATGCATTACGTGACGAAGCAGCCTTCCTACAACGCAAGTATCCGACACTGGCCAATCGCAATGGCACCCCTTACCTGGCCAAAACACTCAATCGTCTGCTAATGCATCATATACGGGACTGTCTGCCTGACCTCAAGGTAACATTCTTTTTATTTCTTTATCCATTCCCATTTGAAGGTGATTTCCTTTTATGTCTTTTACAACATATATCTTTCAACAATCAACACTATACAGGGTGTTTTTTTTAAGTGTGCCACCATTGGGATCTCAGTAACTAATGATTTTACAGCAAACATTAAATGGGGAACATTCCCTTGTTTTTAAAGAGGTTAAAAAATAATTAAATGAAATTTTTGTAAATGGCCGCCATTTTCCAATATGGCGGTCAACTTTTAAATTTCTTATGGAACACCCTATATTTTATTCATGTTTTCGGATAGAACATGCAATTTAAAAACTTTTTTATTCTTGACATTTTTTCGATAAACCCACTACTGGTTTAGGAGTTACAGCCTATGGAAAAATGACTTCAGGTATACATTTGACATCATGTAGCTCCTAAACAAGTAGGTTTATAGCGAAAATGTGAAGAGTAAATAAGTCTTAAAATTGCATCCACATTCCATAAAGACCATAAAATACACAGTTGTCCACTTTTCAAGTTTGCCACCATTTTGGAAAATGGCCGCCATTTTTGAAATAATAGAATTAATATTTTTAACAAATTTAAGGATCTTTTAACAAAAACACCCTGTATGTCTAGATGCAACCTAAATGAGTTAAAATATCCCTGCCACAGCAAACCTGCAGATTAGACAAATTTCAATTTGTCTGATTGAATGTTTACTAAAATATTCCCTTAAACAGTAAATGTTATTCCCCATTTAAATAACATTAGATTATAAGAGTACCTAGCTACTACGGGGAAAATAAAAAGTGTTTCTTCGACCAAATGTTAATAGTATGGGGTAAAATACATTAATTTGCCAAATTTGATCAAAATCCATCCATAAACAAGCAAACTACTGCAGTTTCCTTTTATAACATGTCTTTTATAATAACATGGGAATCTTAAAAGTACAGTTTTTTTTTTCTCTGTAACGTTTAATTTTACAACAACCCTTCAATATACAAAATTATTTGTTTTTTAAGCTCTACATGATGGTAGTATTGAAAATCAAGCTTTTTCATGTTTTAAGGGAAAAAATGAGAAAATAAAACTTGGAGGTTTGTCAATATCCTATTAGTGATTATTTCAGAATTCATTGTAAAATTCCAATCAAATTTCATGTATGGTTCCCGGTTTTTAGGTCGAACAATCTGTTTACATTTGGTTATGTTACACATCTCTCACCTTCCGGTTTTTTTCTCAATAAGGGGAAATTATCTGTGAACATGTAGTGATGGAGACATATAAATACACATGTTTAGTCAGATGATCATTTTAAAATCAATCTTAACAATCAAAACTACAAGGACTGACATTTTATGGGCTTTAAATTAGCTTGTTGAAGTGTTCTGTCAAAGTCTTATTCACTCATAACATCTTAAAAACTAAAAAGTAAAAAGATAAGAGTATTGTCTTGTCAAAAAATAAACTATAACTAATACATTTACAGAACTGAAAATTATTTTTGTTGACATCAAGTAAAAGTTATCATTTAAAAAAACAACTAATAAAATAATGATCCTAATAAAATAAATGAATTCCATCAGGTATTTGTTCATACATGAATTTAGTTTGTAAAATAATTGTCCATTTAGAAAACATCAGAATAAAAATCTTCTATTTTATAGTATACCTTTTCAATTAATAACTTGTGTATTTTTTTTTAAGAGTATGTTTTAGGATTGGTGGTGATTCCTATGGTAATTTCATTAAACATGTTGATTGCCATGTATTTTGATGTATGTTCAAACAGAGTGAGTCCATGCGTCGGGAATAGATGTAACTGTTTCTGGCAAATGGAATGATTATGTGAAAATTTAAACTTTTCAACACTGTATAGATTGTTATTTAGTGTAGCTTAATTATTTCAAAGATGTACAGGCTCGTAATGGTTAAAAATCTGCTCTTACCTAATCTTTTAAACAGAGGGTCTTCAACTTTTTTTCTTTGAAACTTTAACCATAGTCCGTACAATTGATTTTTGTGCGTTAAGAAGTTTTTTTTGTTTTGTAACTGAATCCCCAGATTACTATTCCATATCTAATTATAGATTCAATATAGATGTGATATACTAATTAATTTACAAACTTCAAAAGATGTTGCATCAATTACAGCACTTTTCCATAGCGAACAGGTAATAATCTTTTTGCTAAATATTGAATATGATCGCCCCGATTTAATTTTGAATCAATATGTATTCCCAATACTTTTTGTGTATCCACCTGCTTTAATGTATTAATATTAAATGAATTTAAGCCGTTTTCTCCCATAAATTGCATAATTTGTGTTTTTGAACTGTTCATCATTTTTAGAGAGCTATACCTCTAGTTCTTGTATTGTTTTTTGAACAAAGATTAAAGATTACTAAATTTTTGACATCGTGAGACGTGAAATTGCCCCTGAACTGGCTAGGAACTAATACCAAGGAATAATGAAATACCTTCAGTCTCCAGTTCAAAATAAGTCAATTATTGCAACCTAGGTACCTAGTACGTGGTTTTGCTATCATCAGGTGTTCCACCTAGGTTGCAAAATCGACTTATTTTGAACTGGAGACTGAAGGTATTTAAACTATTATATTTGCAAAGATTACTAATTAAGGTACGTTTGGTGTTTGTAATACCACATTTGTGTTATCTGCATACAAGAAGATTTCCTCTGATATAATTCTAATAATGATATAGTAGTCTATATAATTACTAAATATCAAGTATAGTGTTGGCCTCAGGATGGAACCTTGAGGAACATTGTACCTAATATTATTCCATCCGTACAAGAAGTTTTTTTTAATTACTGCACACTTTTTACAGTCAGCTTAACATATTAACCTATTTCTTTCATGTATGGACAAAAGGGGTCAAGTCAGTATACCTTTACCCTCTAAATATTTATTTATTCCTTCATTAAGTATTTTTGTTGGTCATGTCCTTTTAGGTCTTTTATCATATATGTTATGTGATAATGAACACTGTAAATTTAACGGTAAAATATTTATTTGAATAAATTTTGTTATAGACCAGAGTGAACGTGATGGTGTCTCAGTTTCAATCTCTTCTGAATTCCTATGGCGATGATGTGTCAGATAAAAGCCAGACATTGTTACAAATTATTACCAAGTTTGCATCTGCATATTGCTCAACCATTGAAGGGACTGCTAGAAACATAGAAACTACTGAATTGTAAGTCTATAGTAAATAATTGGGCTCTCAAAACAAAGTTACGCAAAAAGTAAAATTTTTTTAAAAATAAAAAGTTGTTTTTCATGTTTCTTTTAAATGTATATATTTTTTTCGACTGTAAGATGTGATGTATTCTAATGATAGTCACTTTGTGTAACATTTTTCATTTATTTCATAGGGTTAGACTAAGTCCTATGAAAGTTGGATTTCACTGCAGTAAATGGTCATATAACAAATAACTTTACCCAAAATCCATAAATTTGTGGATTATTTATACTATATGTGTACATCTATGAGAACTTAAAAAAATAATCTATAACCACTTATAGTACATTGTACAATTTTACCCGGGCAAAGTCGGGTTATGCTGCTAGTTAATTAAATAAATAACCATAGAGATATTATTGGCTAAGACAAGTTTAAGTCAACCATACATAACTAAGTTAGGAAGTATATTTTGCCCAAAGCTTAAAATGTTAAATAACAAAAACATAGAAATCCAGTTTTCAACTAGGTTTAACTATCCTTGCAATAAATTAAAACATGCAGTTGCATTTCAGATGTGGAGGTGCAAGGATTTGCTACATATTTCATGAAACATTTGGACGCACTTTGGATTCTATTCACCCTTTAGTAGGACTTACCAAAATGGATATCTTGACAGCTATTCGGAATGCTACTGGACCTAGACCTGCTCTTTTTGTCCCAGAGGTAAGGTTGTCTTTCGTCACCCCAATACTTTGTAACTTATCACGTTCAGATTTTTGTTATTGAATGAAAAAAAATGAGAACATTAACCTTAAATTCATTCTAGTTCAATTCTTTTATTTCTGACTAGGGGTTAGCGGTGCACCGAAAAAGTCAATAAGGTACGGTTCTGACCTAATTACCGCCATCGGTTCGGTCCAGCATTTAACTCGGTACAAATCTGGTTCGCCTATTAAAATAAATTACTTGGCAGTTGGTTTGGAGCACATAAAAGGTTTGTCAGATGTATAATTTATTACTTGGGTAATGATGTAATACAAACCCATTATTGTAGCAGTCCCTAATCCATTAATATTTTATCACAACAATAATTGTTGTACTCAAGGTCAAGTCAAATACTTCCAAGAACTCGTTGAGTTGTATCACTTTAATTCCTTTACGACTTCCATTATTTATCACTATAATAATTGTTATGAGATCCCAAACCTATTTTATCATGAAAATAATAGTTTTATAATGGCTTTTAAATTTCACCTCTAACTCAGTCAGTATTTTTGTGAACATCCAATTTGCCGCTAGCCGTTTCCTGCTCCATAAAACAATTTTTGGTTTCATATTAAGCTTATAACTAATCTACAGTCTTATTTTATAAGTTAAACTATTTTTAAGGATATTTTATCTTTCAATTGAGTTGGTTACAGGTGTCTTTTGAGCTGCTAGTGAAGAGGCAGATCCGTAGATTAGAGGAGCCATCGCTGCGTTGTGTAGAGCTAGTCCACGAGGAGATGCAGCGGATCATCCAACACTGCGGTACAGAGAGTCAGCAAGAAATGCTGCGATTCCCTAAACTGCATGAGAGAATTGTTGATGTTGTTACTCATCTGTTGAGAAGACGTCTACCTCCAACTAATTCTATGGTAGCCTGTCATTTACATTTAATGGAATTTTTGAACTATTGAATTTTTTACTATGGTGACAACTTTTAACCCTTCAATGTATTTTCACGTATTTAGTATGTCATAGCATTTTAAGGGGAAATCACTGCTTAAGTTATTTGTTGGACCTCACCTGTGAGTGCTAGTTCTGCAATCAGGCTATAGCGGCACTCGTCCTGTCCGGAAGTCAATGGCTGAATTGACTAACACATGGTGTCTACTCTCCGGGAAATTCGGGAAAACCGGGAAACCTTCAGGAATTTTATCTTACCTTGAAATATCCTAGAAAACTCCAGGAATTAAACCAAACCTCCGGTAATCCGGAACCCGGTCATCAGAAAACCGAAAGACTACTGCTGGTGTTGTCATGATCGTGGGAAACAATTATGGGTGTCGCCAAAATCGCAAAATATGCTCACGGGTATTGCCGCGACTGCGGGAGACGATTACTGGTGTTGCCAAAATCACAAAATATGCTCACGGCAGAGTGTCTAGTAGTCGGGAAAAACAGGAAAGTCAAGAATTTGTATTGAATTTAAAAATGGTCTTGAAAAGTCGGGATTTAGTTTTTATTTTAATATCAAAGTTGGGAATTTTCATGATTTTGCTGAGATCGCACTAGACGACGATCACGTTTCCGTGACCGCGGGAGACGATGATGATGTCTACACAGCCGCGAAAGATGTTCATGATTTTGCCGCGATTGCGTACCACTACGATGATGTTTCCGTGACCGCGGGAGTCAATGATGATGTCTGGGAAAATATAGCTGACATGTAGTTTGTCGTTATGAAAAGTGCTCCTACTTTAAATCCACTTTTTTAGCAAGTTTTGGACTGAATGGTATAACTAGTCAGTTTATATTGTTACTTTTTACACACTTAAATGTAATACACAAATAAGTTTTTATGTTACCTAAAAGTATAAAACCTTCTACTACATAAAAGTTTTTACTTACTAGACTCTGTTTGGAATAGTGATAGTTTTCTATAGATTGATGACAATAAAACAAAACTTTAAGTTCATTGGTTTTTAATGTAACACCATATAATTTTTTTCAAACTGCACTTCTTTCATTAGACTCTTTATTAAAGTGTTAAAATAACCAAAATAAGAAAAACTATTTAAGTTATAACTAGCACCACCACTGCTAACCACAGATATCACTACGCTCAGGTGGACAAGGATTTTCAGGAAATAGTTCTGACTTCTAACTGTGACGTCACCTTGCAGTTGTTTCATTCAACTTCACTGCCTGGAGTTTTGACCCCAAGTGATAAGAGATAGCTTTGCTGCTCTAATCTGTTGCTCAGAAAATATTATCCTTCTATTGGGAGTTTTGAATAATTTTCTCAAGAAAAAAACATTAGTTACCACCACGAATACTAGAAAAATACCGGTATGGATCATAAACATAAACAAATGACGTTTTTGGCCCGAATCCTATAGTAATAGCTTTAACATATGGTTTAGACAGTTCCATTTAAACAATGTTAAATAATGTTTACTTTCGGGTCAAAAACGTCATTTGTTTATATTTATGATCCCTACCGGGTCTTTTCTAGTATTCGTGGTTACTACAATAAAAGTTATCATTATTTATTATTGTTTAAATTTATTTTCTTCAAATAAATAAACAATTTAATTGATAAAATACAAGTTTTTCTAAAATAATTTACTATTCATAAGGATCCATTTAATTGATACGACAGTAATTTAATATTAGTTTGCTTTCACAGCCATTGAGTATTGATACTATGACATAACCTGTTGTTTTGTGTTAACATTCTATTTTTGTTCAACGCTTGGATTTGACCTAACCTAAAACGTGTTGTTTAGTGTTTGAAAGACTAATTATTTATATGCTTTATAATAACTGTAGGGAAAATATAATGTGTAACACAAGCGTAAAGTGCCTTTGCTGCACTCAAGAAACATTTCTCTCATGAGCAGCAAAGTGCCACTTTGCGCACTAGCTACACAAATAACTATTTACACACAAATAACTTATTTTGACACATTTTTTGTAGGTTGAAAATTTGGTTGCAGTCGAGTTGGCTTATATCAATACAAAGCATCCAGACTTTCACAAAGATGCTGCTTTGGTCCCCTCTCTTCTAAAGTCTGTGGAAGAGGAAGACTCAATCAGACAACAAACCAGAATCAACAAAAGACACACTATCAACTTGGCTAATGCTAACTCTATAGTCAATGATACTGAACAGGTAAACAACGTTGAAATGTTCTACTGTAATAAAATTAATAATAAATGTTTAGTGGGTTTAAAGTATATTTAGTGGGGTTCTTGAGTTAAAGTATATTACTCTGCAAGACTGTACAAACATAATAATAATATTAAGAACTGTGAGATAATAAAAGCTTATTGAAAGTACATATTAAGTAAACGAATACATATTACTGTATGATAACATTTCACATGCCGTATTACTGGAATGTCATCAATAATAAATACTTAAAATGCCCAAGAAAAGTGTTTTATTGTACCAAAACAATTATTATATTTTGACCCCAGGAATCACTACTTAGATTAGGTCCTAACTTTTTTCAACACCCTGTATAAGTCTTCTTTTATAATTGTCTCGTGACATTTTGTCCTTTTTTACCTCCCATAACATTCAAAGATCTTATCCTGAATCATAAATCACAATTCTTTATTTGCCATCGATCACAGTAAATGAAATAAATGTTGTTGAACAATAACCTACCCTAATATTTGAAGAAAAAAACATCTATAACAATCATAAACTCTTACAACACAACACTAACAATGACAGTAAGTTTTAGCCAATCCAAACTATAAATTAATCTAGTATCACAGAGCAATCTAAAAACTCAGTTAAACCATTTTCTTATTAAAAACATTGACCTGTGCGGTTGTAGTATAGGCCTATAAAGAAAGTTAAGAAAGAAAGTATAAATAAATCGTATACAATTAATTATGTGAGATGATCCAGTTTTGGCTAATCTGTGCGTTGAGATATCAAGTCTCATCTTCCCTCTAGTGTTCTTGTGTATCAGGGAGAAATAGTGATATACTGGGAATTATCGTCATAAATCATCTATTAAATCTAGATAATCTATTTAGTCTAGTAAATATTAACTGCTATTTTTAATTTCAGCAAAACCACGGTCATCACGGTCGATACAGTGACCCCATGGACCGTCCAAATTTACGAAACTTCATGCCCAATATCTTCCCTCGCAGTCAAGAGAATAATAGCAAGGATCCGTCCGCAGAGAACTCACCGTTATCTACACCTACACACCAACCCAACGACACAGACAGTAAAAGTGCGGTATTGAGTCCTCAGAAACCCATCAACTTGCTACCTGAAGTCCCAACTCAGACTAGTCGCAAGTTGTCTGAGAGGGAGCAAAGAGATTGTGACGTAATCGGTAAGAGACTAATTTTTTATAGGTAAGAAACAATCGCAGACACCCACAATGTTAACACTTCATTTGTGCTTGCGTTTGAGTTTGAGCTTCATATTTAGTTTAATCAAATCCTACCAATAAATATTGATGGTCCGACCAGTCAGACACGATAGAGGGGTCCTCCACCATTGGTTCAGTCATCCAGATCCTCCAGCACTTGGTTCAGTCACCTGTGGGCATTTGTTGAGACTCGCTGAGTGTTTTTTCATTGTGTCGTCACGCTAACATGGTGAAGTTTTGCTTTAAACTCAGAAAATCCACGTCTGATACACGTGTGCTGTCGTTAATCAGACCAATGGGGATGATGCTTTAAGCCGCACAAGATGTGAAGATCTGGATCCGAATTTTTCAAGATCCACATCCGGATTCGGTACCAACATTTTCTTGGATCTGCCCATCACTATGTTATATATAGTAGAAATGTGGAGGAGCTAATGTACCTAGGTCTATTGGTATTGGTTAGTCATTTCTAGGAATGTAAGTCATATTAAGGCCTGTTCACACCGGCGTAGCCAGAGTCTGCAGACGTATTTGGTGTATTAATACTTAAACTTCGCCCATGCACTGTTCACAGTTCACACCGCAGATACGTCTGACGGCTACGTAGCCGGTGTACCGGTGTTTAATAAGTCTAATAAATATATGTTTAGCCAGTTCCGGATTTTTGTGACACCCGGTAGACAACGGAAATTCTGTACTTTTAAACCGGGAAAACTGAGAAAAATGTATGAATTTGGTTTATAGATTATGCTGACAACCCTGACCAGAAGTTTTGGATTTTGACAGGCATCTGACCATCGCCCACATCAGTAAGAAGACCGGCCTTTTAGTGGGAATCGTCCCACTATCGTAATGAAGAATTCATTGATGAAAATCGTTTGCACAAACCTGGTGCCGAAAGTCCTGAGTGAGGAAAAAATACTCTCAAGGGTAGAAAATTTTAAAAGAAATCCTTGACTGTGTCCAGGAAGGTAAACATTTTCTGGGCAACTTCATTACCGACGATAAAATCTGGGTGATAAGTATGACCCGGAAACAAAATGTTCAAGTTGAGGGCAAGGGTCTCTGATGCGGATTTTCCATGTTTAAAGCAAAACTTCACAGCCTTGCTCGACAGTATGCTCCATGTTGGTGCGACGACACAATAAAAAAACACTGCACAAAAATCGACCTCCCTATCTCAACGAATGCATGCAGACGACTGAACCAAAGTGCTCCTGAATGATGGAGGATCACTCTATCGAGCCCGACCGGTCAAACCCCCTTCACCGCTCTGTTGAGGCTACAGTACAATGAACCAGTCGCAATACTTAATGAATGCACCCTGTATTTCCTTCTTTATCATTAAATCATTAACAATTTTAGGCTCATCACAAAAATACGCAATACATCCATAGAGCTGTCATAAAAGTATTTTTTACAAGGGCTATCCAAATGTAACAGATGTTTGGAATAAACCATATACAAAATGAAAAAAACCCAAATTTTATCATACATTTTTAAGCTAAACCCTTAGGCTATTTTTATACATAATCACCATTCAATTAATCGTAATGTACTGTACAAGCTTTTCATTGCCCTCCTTGTAGAAATCTGCCGCTGCGAGGTCGTGAACTCCGGCATGGGGTTCAGCGTCAGTGTCAAAGCGTTGTGTAGTGAGCCACATCTTCATCACTAGGAAAAGATAGTCGCTCGGCACCAAATGCGGTTCACTCATTATTCCTTGGCCATACACATCACAAATGTGGCGATAAATTTCAATCGGTTTGTAATTTTTCGCTAACAAAAGCCTTATCACAACACACACTTCACAACTGGCGGGATTTTCAAACATAGCGCTCATTTCAAAACTCTACTGTATAAAAGGCACAGAAGACATGATGCTCCAGCTACCACAACTGGTTGCGTACTGAGTGTAGGAACATTCTGATGCCAAGATAATGGTTCTAACCCTACCCACTGCCGCGCCAGGCCAAAACGTCTGTCCCTTTCTGAATAGCCCTCATATTTTATTTTCCAGTTCAAATGTGGCATTTACAATCAACATTCACTCACCTCAGTAAAATAGTGTCACTACTGAACCATGCGAATCATTTTATATTTTTATTTTACTTTTTGTTGTGAAATAAGAATTCTAATACCCTTTTTTGCTTTCAGAGCGCCTTATCAAGTCATACTTCTACATAGTTCGAAAATCAATCCAAGACAGTGTTCCCAAAGCTGTGATGCATTTTCTAGTGAATTATGTGAAAGACAACCTACAGTCAGAGCTAGTCACACATCTATACAAGTCTGACCAGGCAGATGAATTGCTCAACGAGTCTGAACATATTGCCCAGAGGAGGAAAGAGGCCGGTGATATGCTTAAGGTATTTTTCATACACATCAGCCACTGGTAAACAGTGGTTTTAATAGTTTATTAGTTTAGCTAAGTTTTGGTTCGTAAAAAGTTGTCTTGAGCTTAAAAACTACAAGTATTGTTTAAAAACTTGGAGCTAATTATCAAAGCGTGATTGTTACTCATTCCTAAATTACTATGGAATTTAAGTTACACAAGGCCTTTCGTCTTGCCATTGCATTGTCAAATCTTTTCCGTACGGTTATTTGTTATATTCTCTTGGAACTCGGATAAGAAGGCATGACGTCATTGCTGATATTCTGCTGGGTATAAATTGCATTGGATCAATCTTTTGAAGTAAAATCAAATTATTCTAATCCAAAACCTTAATTTAATCTGTTTCAGGCACTTCAGAAAGCCAATCTCATCATCAGTGAGATCAGGGAAACACACATGTGGTAGACGTTGACGTTCCACTGCTTCCTCCGTAGTACATACTCCAACTATATTATAAACTACTTGACAAAAGCTTTTTTTATTAAAACCAAAGTTAATCTAATAAGTTGACCCTTTGACTTGGAGAGTAGACATCCCATTCACATGACAACTCTGTGGCTAGTTTTAGAATGAAAATTAATGTTATTTAATTGAACCACTGACATAGTAACTGAATAACTTACTGATTTATTTGGAATACTAATTGTTTCAGCAATCCAAACTGAAAGACACAACAACTACAGCAACAAAACTAAGGGAGAAAAAATTAATTTTGGATTGTAGCACACTATGTGAGTGGTTCAACTATGTCCATGTGGTGGTATGACTACTTTAGAAGTCAAAGGTCAGCTCCACTAGGAAGGTGGCTTTATAGTGTGCAATAGATCCTGTGAAATATTTTGAAACATTACAGATTTAGTTAAATATTACCTAAATAAATTTAGATCTAATGTCTAGTGACCAAGATTGTTTGTTGTTCGGTTATAGAATACAGTTAGTGATTCAAGTTAAAATAGTTGACAAGTTTGTTCTTGGTTAGTGTATCACAGTTATCAATTTTTTTTAAAGTTAAAAATGAAGATTTGTTAATATACTTTTGCTTTATGTTGTACTTAGCATTATCAGTGTTGTTCTTGAACACTTTCGATTGTACATAAAATACAGAATTGTTAATTTTATGAACCTGTATTTGTTACATAAAATCACAGGTTCATAACCTCAGAACTATATTGAAGCAGCATGTAGCAATGTTATGGTTTGAATGTATTTTAATTTACCTTTCAAAGGTCAGTATTTATAATCTCAGATTTTTAAAATATTTATGTTGCAGTTCAACTATTTCTTTCATTTAATCCATAAAAAAAATTAATTGTTTGTCAGTCTTTAATATCATACATTTTGTCACAGTTTTGTGTCTAATTTACAGCATTTAAGAAGACTCGAAGACTGTATTTATTTTCCAGCAGAAAATGCTTTCTGGATATTTGCCATTTGACCAACATAGAGTTCCAGAAGCAACCTGCGTTCTTAGAGTATTGCATGTTTTATTCTTTACTCTTCTATTGTCCAGAGGACAACGTGCTGTAGTTAATTTGTGAAGATATTAAGCCTGCATAAATAAATGTGATATTTTGTTTGTTTTTAATTTTGTTTGAGTTTTACCTTATTCACAGAGTACTCCATTATGGCTAAAGTACAAAGAATGAGGAGCATTAGTTTTATTATACATTTAGAACTTTTTATGAATGTTGTAATGTAGTATTCAGTAGGACCTCGATATATCGAATCTGAAGGGGGTATGATAAAAAATTCAAGTTATCGAGTAGGATCAAGTTAATAAGGCGCTACACAAGAAATTCTAGATACCGAGGTCTTGGACTCTGACAGTGATGGTCACGGGCCTTCTCTAGCAAAATCAATCCTAATATATACTGATTCAACCATGTTAAAACACATTTAAACTCACCATTCTTACATCTTTTCTTATTGATTAACCCACCTTCAGCTTCATACTTTTCCCAGTTTTACAAAATCGATAATGTGTTAGGCGTGATTCCTAATTTGCTGACGATTTCACCTTCTTTTCTATATCACTTTCTTTTTCCGTTGTCTGTCAACACTTTAAACTTACGCTTAACTGAAGACATGATGTCCGATGACAAAATAATGTCAAAAGCTGGCAGACTTAACAGTATTAGTCATTGCTAAACAAAGAAGTTGGTTTTTCTTTCATGTCTCGACAGGTCTCAAAACACATCTGACGACTTCCTTCTGTTGTCAGTATTGAACAGTATTCAAAGTTAAAAAGTATTGAGTTCAAGTTCATAAAAATTGGTTAAATTGAGTCCTCAAGTTCTATTAAGTTTTTTTTTTCAATGTGCATGCAATAGAGAACATTTTTTTTTTTAACTGTAACAACCTCTTATATATTTTGTCAGCTTATAGTATCTAAAACATAACGTTTAAATGCTTACCATCTTTCCTTTAAAGAAGCACATATTTTTTCACTGCACAAGTTTTCAAATTTTAAGGCAATCCAGAAACAAATTTTAGTTTAAAGACATTTCAGCAATGAAGTTGACAGCTTTTGCACTCAACTAATTATAACATAACTACTTACAAAATAATAAATATTAAAACTGAAGACAGGAAGGAAACACTTATATTTGACTTCAGCAGACACTTTCCTGTTCTACTTGGACCTTATGACGTAAACTTCCACCACCACAACCCACGTTCATTGATGGAATCAAGGTACACCAGCAGACGTCTTATCACTTGCTGATAAACCCAATGCTTAGATTTGTCTCAGATACCAATATCTATACTATTGTCACCATTGAGAAATTATTAATGTTTCAATCCAATGATAAAACATTTGGCTGAAGAAATAAAAAATTAAAATCTATTTATTCATAAGAAGTTAAATACTTTGACTCTTTGATAACAACAAAAAACTTAGTCCATGTATTAAAACAAGGACTCGATCTAAATTTAAAGAAACATATGCACTAAAAAGAGTCCTATACCAGTTGCAAATGTACCTAACTAATAAAATAAAAGTATCACCGACAATGCTAAAAAAGACAGTGTAAAAAAGTTTTACAAAATTATATTTCCTTGTTGAACTGTAAGACTAATATAGGCTCCATTGTGGATGTAGCCTCCGGATTGCCAAATAATATTAAAAAGGTTTGAATACCTGCTATCAAGCAATCCATTTAATTGCAGTTGCAACTAGTTTCGACTCCTATGTGGAGTCATCATCAGGCGGTACAAGGACTTCTTCTTTCTTCATATGAGGAGCGTCATTTTTAACACGTAAAAATAAATAAACATTTACACACGACACAAAACACGTTACGGACACGAAACATTTACTGTCTATTGTCGTAACTGATCAGTAAATGTTTCGTCCGCCTGATGATGACTCCACATAGGAGTCGAAACTAGTTGCAACTGCAATTAAATGGATTGCTTGATAGCAGGTATTTAAACCTTTTTACTAATATAGGCATTTCATTGGAAAATAAAATTGTAACGGTGGGTATTTCTCTTCGAGAAAAATACCCACTGTTACTTTGGGTGACGTAGCTCAGGAATGAGATTCAGCACTTGCTTACAATACCCAACTTTATTAAAATCCAAAACAACACAAAGATAAACTAACAATCAAAAAGGTAGAGTAGACTGGAACTGTATAAATCATTTAGTTAGAAACTGAAACCCCAATTTGGAAAAGACTCTAAAACCGAGTTTTGAAAACCCTTAACATAGTTCAATTCAAAACATCTTTATTCATTAGTATATATTGTATACAAGAATGGTGTCAAATTCATCATTACATAAAATAAAAGACAAATACAATACAGTCATCTCTCAAGTAGGTATAAAACAAAAGTATACTTCAGTGAAAACAAAAATATAGTTCAGTGAAACAGCAATAGGCCTAAAACATTTCAAGTAAATTCTGTTATTGCTTAGCCCAGAAATCTTTGAATTTATAAGGAGCATTTTGTGTCGTAATTTTAGAGCGTTTTTAAATCTGTTGTCATCTGTCTAATTTTTTATTTTTATTGGTAATTGATTTAAAAATTGTATTCCAATGTATGATGGTTTTTGTTTAAATATTTCTTTTTTATGCTTATTAATTTGGAAATTATATCGGTTTCTTGTGTTGTAATTAATTATGATTATCGACGTTTCTAGTAAATGTTGAAATATTACGTTTAACATGAAGAACAGTTTTGTAAATATAAGGGCTATAAATACTCATGATACCCAATTCAATAAAATGTTTTTTACAGTGTGCATCAAAATCCAATTTAAGCATTGATCTCATTGCATCTTTTTAAGATGTACACATTTTTGGAGGTTCAAATTTGATGTTGCTCCATATACTTCAAGGCCATACCCAATATGGGTATGGACCATTGAAAAATACATTGATTGCAATGTTTTGATGTAACAAAATGAGGACAATCTCTTCAGAGCAAAGAATCCTGAATTAACTTTTGAACAGACCTCATTTTCATGACTTGACCAAGACAGTTTTCTATCCAGTAGAATACCAAGGAACTTTGACTTTTCAGCAAGATCAACAATATTGAGGCAGTCTGTTGGTTCTGTGATCATTGTTACAAGAGAATTTAATTATTGTTGTTTCATTTTTATTAGTTAACTTAAAAGGTTCAAGTTACTTAGTCTTTCGTTAACTTTGTTTGTTGCTAGGGATAATTGATCAAAAACATTAATTCTGTTGCTACTAGCTATCGTTAGATTAATATCATCTGCAAAAATACAAAATTTATTATTTAATATTAGATTTGAAAGACATTCTGGTAACTTTTCTAAATACACAAGGAATAGGAATGGTCCCAGGACTGATTCCTGGGGAACGGAATATTTAATTAAGTCTTACCTGGACTCAAGGCCATCAGGCTCCCCCAGCAAGACCCCGTCCTCTGGTGCACCACACATCAAACACTACCCACCAAAACTGACCCTTGCTGATAGATCAGCACAATATGTTACTGTTTAAAAAACACTCCCAGCCTACTCACACAACATTGCCAAACACTTCCTGCTTACAATATTTGACCCCTTCCATTATTAAATGTGTCCTTTTACAGATAACTTTAAATGATTTGGAGAACATAATTCATTATTGAAAGAAAATCATATGTTAAAGTTAAAACAAAGTGTTGAAAAAATTAAAAGAAACTTGAAATTGTGGGTAAAACATGGCTATGGGGGAAACCATTGCTACTCACTTTGAAGTTTTGACAATATGAATACTGTGTGAAATAATGGTGATGTCTACCTAATGAATCCAGTGTTAGTGGGGGCAGCTAAAGGGTTGGAAGACATCAACGTTATACTGGATTCTTACTCCTAAAAGAAAAAAAAAACATCCTAGGCCTACTTGTCCCTATTAACAACGCTAAGTATGATCCTACAAATAGTTACAAAACCATAGAAGGCTCACACTGGAGTTAAATTGCATATGAAAGACAATCAAACGTTTAACTTAATATTACTACTACATTGACTCAATTAAAAATAGGTCTAGTGTAGACACTGCAAGGCTAGAGGGTTGTAAAGCCGGGTTTACACTATGTAGCAAAACCTGCTATATAGCAGATTTTTGTACCATCTAGCAATGTTATATAGCATTTGCCAGAAGTAGAAAAGTTAATTTTCAAAAGTGCTATATATAGCAAAAATGGTTCTATCCATGGGAGTCGGTAAAGATAAAAAAAAATACGTGCTACATCTAACGTTGCAACACATTGCATTGTTAAAATATATAGCAATGTTATACAAATATTTTTTGTCTAGCATCTGCTATATGTAGCATTTAGTGTCATCAGTTCACAGTTGTAGCCTCCTGGGTGCGGACATTTTTGCTCAGCGATCTTTGTTTACAATGGAAGGACTGGAAAGTGACAGTGCGTGGGATTGGGATGCTACTATAAACTTAGATTAAACTGTTCCATAAACAACTGGCCTTGTGGTCATACGTAAAACGTTTTTGAAGCTACCATCGCCTTATTTCGCGTTTTCAGCGTGATCGTCATCATTAAGGTCCCGTAATAAATCTGCTATACTGTACTTATTTCTCGAAGCAAGAAACAGTCAAACCTAAAACCTTCGCTTCCGCCTCTGACTTCCTAAGATCACCATGATAGCTGCCGCAAACAATAGGTTTCTTCGGCGCGATATTTTCGATACGGAATGCGAATGAGGTTGTCTACATATAGCATATAGGACGAGCACTGGACTCACTAAATTGTCTGTAATTTTTTTGTATAGCAAAAGTTATATAGCAGGCTTTGCAACATAGTGTAAACCCGGCTTAAGCTCTTGAAGTGCTTAGGAAATATGTAAGAATCTAGCATCTTAGTAGTTCAAGGACCAGACCAGTACAAAGGAATTCATATGAATGTGGTGTTTTCATGCTACATCCTGCTGAATAACATTAAATGGTAAAACTTTCTATATATGACTTGCATACAGCCCTAGATGGCAGACTCATAGGTGTTTTTGCACCAAATTAGGTGTTTTTGTGAGATTTTTCTAGTTTCTTGACTTAGAGTAAAGCATATCAAATATGGTATTTTTTAAAGCTCTTAAAATGTTTTGCAGCCTTTTCCATAGGTTATTTCTGAAATATTGTATGAATAAAATTTTATTAACAAAACTAACACAAAAATATTTTTAAATACCGGTTTTTGAAAAATTACGAAAAATGTACTAATCATACAACAAATGTGTAAATGTAAGAAAGATAGCATGTAAACTTCTCTTTCAAACAAAAAAAGTTTTACCCCGATCCAATACATGGTATGTAAAATATAGTTATTTTTGATATAGCCCTGTCCGCCATTTTGATGACATCATAACCGGAAACTGCAGTGGGTGCTGACGCGACACCCGGGTTGAAAACACTTCTTTAGACACCTACATCAACATTAAATGGTAAAACTATATATATTACAACAGTCTTCGTAGGCCCACCCGAAAAACAAGCTGTTGCTTTAGCTTTGAACATGTTTGACCGCTCAGATACACAAATTTTGAGGTTCGATCTTAATATTTTTTATCCCTACAAATCAATTTGAATTAATCCGTTTAAATGTTTTTACTATCCATACAGATAATCGCGACGGAACCTCTCCATGTCGACCTATTTGAAAGGGTGCACGGAACTGCCGCTGAGTTGCAATGACTGTATCATTACATTTTATAAACGGCTTGATGACAAACACACGTAGCTCAGCCGATCATTCTTCAATGACTACAGATAATGGCAGTGTGTAGGCTTTCCAACGAGACTACCCCCACACTCCCCAAACCACCTGTCCCTGAACAGTGTACGTCAGAAAAAGATCGGTTTTTTGGTGCACCTGTACAATGGAGACTCTGCATGTAGGAAATGTGAGCAGTCCGAGGAGACAGGAGATCATCTACTCTATGACTAGGGGGACGTTGCGATACCAGTGGTATCACACGAATATCCAATCAAGAGATACTTTATTGGTATCAAAAGAAAATATGCAGTATTGGTATCGGAAGAAAGAATGCAGTACCATAAAAACGTAGTTAGGTTTTTTTTATATTTTTAACATGGGAATCATGAATGTACAGTTTTTTTAAAATTTTCTCTGTAACGTTTAAAATTACGAAATTGCTTTATTGAACAAAATAATTTGCTAAGCTCTGCAAGATGGCTGTAATAAAAATTGGGCGTTTTCATGTTGTAATGGTACAAATTTGAAAAAAAAAACAATTGTTGAAAAACCCCATAATACCCAGCTTCCATGGTCCGATCTTGCTGGTTTGTGAACTCATTCAAGTTTATCCAGCCCTACTCCTTCAAGCTAAATTTAATCAAAATCGGAACAAAATTACTTGAGTTATGAAGTTCACGGACGTATAAATCTCTACGAAATCTCAACGAAAAACTGTTTTTGGCCTCTAGGGTCATCAAAATGAAAAATTAAATCGGTCTCGGGTCTAGGTCTTGCATTTTTACATCATTGAAAGATTTATTAAATACACAAAACATTTAAAACCTACATACTATAGAGAAAATTGCTTATTTGAAAAACATATTTACAAAATGGCAAAGGAAACATTGAATTAGGGTTTACAGTTTGATAAGGACAGCTTGCACAAGATCGTCGAAAAATCCAAATCATTTAAATTTTAATTTAGGATCATACAAAATAAAATAATACAACATTAATAAGCAATATCAGTTTATTTCAAAAATTGACTGTTTACAATAGTAATAAATTGAATTCATAGTAATAATAACTCTAAAATTAGCCCTATACACACATGCATACACACACTCACATTCATACGCTGTAACACATACACACACCCACTAGCATAAAGTACGATTAAATATGCAATATGCATACTATACATACAATATGTATTCATGTGGGTGTGCCTACGTGTAGTGTAAGTAAGTTTGGCATTACATTCTGAAAGGATAAATGATTAATATCTTAAACAAGTTCTCAAAAGCCAAGACTTAACATAACTAACTAACGAATATGCTGAGCCCACATAAGTGAAGAGATTAATATTTTGTGCTATGAGCCACAGAAAGATCTTTGGATCTAAAAGATGAGCAGTAGAGCGGACCAGGTTTAGTGGTAACAGTACAGCGACTTGTGGGTAATAAGTACAAAGACTATTGCCAAAAATATAAAACTGCTAAAGTAATTATTACAAAACTCAATCTCATAAAAATAAGGCAAATATCCAGGTAACAGGCCGTGATTTCTTACCATCAGCAAACTTTCGATATATTTTCAAAACATTCATTATAAATTTGATCGAGAATAAACAAAAATAAATAAACTCTACTTGACTACTGGTATATATGTATAGCTTATACGGAAACATAAAATTTATGCTGAACATAACTAGAAAAGATTCAATTTCGACAGGCAGTCGAGTGACGGAACGATCAGAGGAAGCACTCAAATTGATTAAGGTAGCGTTACTGAGTGACTCGCAACATAAATAAAACCTAACTGAGAAATGTGGTTACAACCTAAAGACATGGTGATTATATAAAAATATAGTTTTAAACAATCAGGTCCCCGGTGTTTTGTTCTCATTAGCCGATAGAATGTCACAGATCGTTCCGTCTTGAGTTAACGTGATATTCACAAACAGAAAATCAACAATTAGAAATTTGGCATAATTACAACATCTAATAGAAAAGTCATTTTGAGTCACTTAAACTGTGTTGACTCGGGATAAAATAAAACAGTTGAGGAGCCCTAGCCTGCCACAGAAGTGACACGTTGATTAGTTTACAGCAGTCGACATCGTCCTTTCTTCTTCTTCTTCACCTGGAAAACATAAAATACTAATAAGCAAATTGTTAAAAGAGTTGAATTTATAGAAGAGGATCAAAGTGAAAATATAAGTTGTGAGGGGGCAGGCTGAAAAATATAACTAAAAGAAAGCTTGGATATGATAACAGTATGTATATGACATGCTGGTTACAGACAACCACCAAAACAAATAAGTACATTAGTTAAAAACTAGCTGTGTGCCCGTTCTACGTACGGGAATCTTGTAGTAAGTTTAAACCTTCTAATATTCAGAGGAGTTGGTTTGCATATTTAGTGTGCATTTTCCAGATATGCCGGCAAAACTATTACTGTATGGAAATACATATAAACCTTCGCAAATACAATATCTGACCGTTTCAAGCCAAAACGAATGCTTCGCAATTAAATGTCTCAAGATTGTGTTAGTCCATATTTTACATCCAATGATAAAAAGAATTGCTCTATAGATCTATGAGGCAAAGCCCTAAGGCTAACTGTAAGTTATAATTGTAAGTTAGTTTCCACACTGGTTAAAAGTAGTTAAAATACTACCTCAACCTCACCACTGCACACTTTATTCCGGTTGAAATTTTCATTATCAAAGGTGCTATTGTCTTTTCCACGAAACACTGAGGAATAAGGACATTAATGCGTTACCAACAGACATACACACAAAAATACGGAATCAAATTATGGAATTTGCTACACTTTAAGCAAAGCAAAGTACATTCAAAATAAGTTTTCTTGGAATTTTTGATAGTGTCGTCTTATTTTATGATAATCATATTCAGGCCTACTTATCCTGTAGTGATAATGCCGTCTGTAATGACAATTTATATTTGCTTTGCTTAATCCGAAGATGACTCGAAATGGTGTTGAAATTACAGCATAATTCATGAAACGATGTACAAAAGACGATTAAGATTAGTAATAATTTACAATAGCTATTCACTTCAAATATTTATCATTGCTATTGTTATTAAAGTTATTTTTTGTTTTGACAATATATTTATCATAGTCATTGTTTTCTTTATTATTTATTGTTTTCTAGGTTGTTCCATGTGCCATTTATTGTAAACATATTTTCATTACTAATCAAACTATGTATTTATTTCTCGTTACTCTTAGTTCTTTCATTGTCCAGTATTTGCATGTACTGTATTTTTATTATTGTTACTTTTGATATTCCTCTCATTATCTATAGGCTATTTAGTCATAATGAGCAATTATAATCAAACTGTAAAATTGGTGTAGATCCGTTGGCAAATATATAAATAAGTAAATAAATACACAGGCCACAAAACATTGATACGCCTGAAATGATTTACCTGTAAAGGATAAAATGATCAATTGGAGGACAACAGGTGATTTAACCCTTTTCAATTGTCTATTATAGATCCAAAAAGAAAAAAAAATGATGCTGCTAAGAGTTCAGCTCTTTCAAAAAGGTGAGCTGCTCCATAAATATAAGACAGTGACGCAAATATGTCACTGTATATTAATGTGACAATGTCATTGCATCTGTGCTAACAAACTAGCTATGGTGTTTTATAGGGCCTGCGTCGCTGATCTGTAAAATAATACATTATTGCAGCGTGTTTAGTCCTGTGTGTAAACATGTCAAGCAAATTTTAGTTGGTAAGTAATGTTTCTAGGAAGTTGTTGAGGTTTCAACTCTATTATCAAGCTACCACACTTGACTCTTTCACCTTGTATAGCTCCTGGAGAGTGAAGTGCTCTAGTGCTAGAATGCAGGGCTTCGGTCCCAGGTTCAAATACCACCAATCACCACATGACATAAAGCTATTTTAAAAAACCATGACCCTCTAAGCTAGCCTGGAGTAATGTGTAAAACGGTTACAGACTAGAGCCTAAGTGTCCTAGTATGTGAATCTATGATAACTCCACCACTTTATTACCTGGAGAGCAGCTCTAGTGGCAGTTTCAAAAACTTCACGTACACCTTCCTTGCTTTTGGCTGAGCACTCCAAGTAAGCAAAGGCATTTATCTTCTCTGCCATGGCGCGCCCCTCTTCCGGCTTTACAGGCTCCTGCTTCATTTTTCCTAACTCTTTTATTGTATTCGGATCATTTCTCAGGTCCTAAAAGCCAAAACTCACAGTAAAAATTTAGGATTTGTTGATGACTTAGAAAAACTTAAGATGATGATTTTTGATGAGGGCATTGGATATTATTAATAAACTCTTTCAAAAAAGAATTTTTAATGTGAGTAAGGAAGGTACTTTTCACTAAAAGTTACATATTTACAAACACATGGTAGAGGTGTGGGCCCTCATCTATGTAGTATTAGTACAATATGATACTAGAATTTGTAATGATAAAAGATGCTCACATATGCCTCAGTGAAAGCAATAAATCAATTACAATGTGAAAGACAAATTCCATTATCACTGTAGGGACGAGTTAAGCCCAATGGCATAGTTCTCTGGTGAATATACGATATAGTTAACATCTAATACCTACTTCATGACGTAATATTGATTTTCTGAACACTCAACTCACTATCTTTGCTTCCAGAATTGCCAACATACCTTTTTGTTACCAACCAGTATGATGGGAACATTGGGACAGAAGTGTTTGACTTCAGGAGTCCATTTTTCCGGTATGTTCTCCAGGGAGTCAGGAGAATCAATAGAGAAGCACATGAGGATGACATCAGTATCGGGGTACGACAATGGACGGAGTCTATCATAGTCCTCCTGGCCCGCAGTATCCCAAAGAGCTAGCTCAACCTGGAAAACCAGCAAAACACTGTAAAACAGTGTGCCAACCAAAATCAAACCCAACATCTATTTGATTCAATAGCAGACATTTCAGTAAACCACCTGGTCCTCTCATAGCTGCCTAACACAATTCAATAGCGTTAGTTAAATTTGATCCAATCTATCAATATGCAATGTCGTCTAAACTAGTGATGGTCAAAATACAAATTTTTAATCTCAAAACCTGACCCTAAAACTTTTTAATTTGCCTCGTTAAGGTTTTACAATGATAACATGTTTATTATGCAATGAACACTCAAAGAAATTGGACTCCAGGCCTTGACACAATAACGTGAATATTAGACCATTACATTTTAAAGCTAAAAAACAAAAAATTTAAAAAAAATTGTTTATACGAGGTACGTCTGGAAATTAAGTTCTGTTTCAACTATTCTTCGCGGTAGCCATCACAGTTCAGCGCATGCACGGTAGTTACTCTAGGGCAACCGGAAGGAAATGACGCTTTTTTGAGGTCGCTTTTGTTGTCGTGCACTTCATAGTGCTTGTTTGTAATGGCTGTGTTAATTGAGAATCCCGCCGATTGTGAAAATCGATCAGTGATTCTTTTTCTTAATGCAAAAACGTTAAAGCAATTTGACAAATCTGTGAGGTTTATGGAGACCATGTAATAAGTGATTCAATAGTAGGAAGATAGGTTTGACAAATAAGAAGATACCGTCCATGATGAGGAACAAAGTGGACGTCAATCTCTTGTGAACAATGAACTGATTCATGCAGATGATGGGAATTTTGAAGAAAACAGTAAGTTTAAGATTAGTGCTCTTGCACGTGAATTTTCCTCAAGTTTCACAAACAGTAATTTACAAGATTGTAACTGAAAAAATTGGATTTTCAGAAACTTGGCGCACGTTGGGTGCCTAAAATTCTTTCTGAACTGCGCTAAACCGCCGAATGGGCTGTGCACTTGATTTCTTGACTCGCTATGACGAAACTAGGGTTGCTTGTGATAAACCTGAAACCAAACGCCAATCAATGGAATGGAGGGTCTATGTCCCCGACAAAAGTAAAACTAAAGTAAACCTTGACACCTCGAAAGGTCATGTGCACAGTTTCCTGGGAAAGAAATACATTTTGCTTGCCACGAGACCAAACAATCAATAAAGATGTTTATTACGAGACGCTCAGAAAACTACGCCACGCAATACAGAATAAGCGCCGAGGAATGCTCACGTAAGGAGTGGTTTTCATTTACGACAATGCCTAACCACACACGGGAAATGTGACGAAGATAATTCTTCAGGGATTTGGCTGTGACGTGTTTGACAACCCTGACCTCGCTCTGAGCGATTTTTAATTGTTTCTGCATCTGATGTCTTTCCTTGGCGGTCAGCGGTTAAACAGTGATAAAGAGCTGAAAGAACATTTTACCTCATGGTTGACTACACAGGTGGCAACATTCTACAAGGATAGTATACAAAAACTTGTACCATGCTATGACTAATGCCTCGAAAATCACAGGAGTTATGCCGGAAAATGCTTTGCTGTATCTATACTCGTTATTCTTTTATTTCAAAACGGAACATACTTTTAGATTTTGGTACCTTGTAAACAAAAAACGCTAAAATAAATTAAAATCTTGATACTAATAATATAGTATGAGACCAATTCAAACATTAAACAGGTTATATTTATTTGTGTTCAATAAATACCGATATGAAATAGTTTTGCACACACATCTTTATATATATTAGTAGCTAATTAATTGCATATATTTGTTGCAGTTCAGAAATATAATTTGCTAGTTCAATTTTAGAATGTTAAAACTCATCTATCGAATCTCAAATTCGATGGTGGTTTTGAGATTTGGTTTTGAACCATCACTAGTCGAAACAACCAGTAGTGTGTTGAAGACATAGCATATAATTTAGTTGGCTGTCTAGCAATGGTGTATTGTAGGTAATAAAAGTCAATAACTTCCAAGCCAAAGGAAATTAAGCTTGATACAATACAAACTTTCAATGCAATGATTCATGTAAACTCTTTCGTTATGTTATCTACTAAACAGTTAAATAGCCATTATAGAGTTGCCCCTTCTGCACATTTCTAAAATTCTACTGACTTTGAACTGATTTGTTTTACCCACTCATCTCCAACACGTGCCATGACAACATACTAATAATATTCTTCGCTATTTACTTCATACAATCTTAGACTACATGAAGTTCACAGTGCAACTTAGTCATGTGTATTTCTCAGAAATCAAAGTCATGAAAATTATTTATGTCCTTATGCTTTGTGAAATGGCACTGTTAACAAGTAATTCTCTCAAGATACATTTATTATTTTTAATTGCTGGCAATATATCATCATTGTAGACCCAGTCTATGCCCTCTGCCAAAGGGTCAATGACAAAGGCCAATGCACATGGCAATATACCAACTAATGAATAGAAACTGTCACAATAAAATATTTTATTATTCATCAAATGCAATATTCTTATTTCTATACAAAGAAGCCCTACTCCATTTTCAGTGATTTGCAGGGCTTGTAAAATAAAGACCTCATCCAGTTGAAGGGGTGTTTAAGTATATTATACTTTAACGATAAATCCTCAAATTGATTTTCTAACCTGAGTCGTTATTTTTTTAACATCACTCCAAATATTGTTCAACAGTTTTACTTGACAGACTCTATAGGAGAAAACATAGTGAACTTCAAGTTCTATTAGTGCAAGCATTTTAATTAATTATTGGTCCTTCAATTCTATTTTTTACTTTCGGTCATCATATTTGCCAATTTAATATAAAAAACTGTTATTAAAAAGCAAGAACTGGCTATTTGAAATTTTGAGCTTCTTTAACATAACAGTAGTTTTAGAAATTTGGTATGATTTATCATATTTGATTTTGTTTGATTATTCTTTGCCCCATATCCACTACACATTTTTCACCTTGATAAGCAATACAAAGTTTAAACTTAATGCATAACCCCGCTTGTCCAGTCCAAAGAACAAACTGTTCTAGATAAGCGTGTTACTAAACATCCTTCTTAAAGAAATTGCTGGTTTTAAATGATTATTTGTAACCTCATAGAAAGTTTTCTTTCTGTAGGATATGAAAGTGGTTTGAAAACCTATATAAAAGGAGACCAAAAATATCTAACAATCTGGTCAAAAAACAAGAAACCCAAAGCTAGAGTTGACTTACGGAAATAATGCAATGAGTAAGTTACACATTCACAAATAGGGTAAAATTGAGCACTATTAACTGACATAAGTAGGATAGCCTATCTCATAAATGCTAAACAAGCAAATGAATACACACATATGTAAAACATACATTTTCTATTAAATTACATACATTTATATGAATTAAACTTTCCTTTAAAATATATTTACTGATTTAAGGATTCATTTTTCACAGTTTCATCTTCAGTATTTGCTATTACAGTAGGCTTATATATTTTCTGCAACATTACTAATTTAAATCCTGACCCTAAATTAATATTAATTAACAACCAACAATGTACTATATATAACCTTGTACATACACTATACAATTTAAAGATTTCTGATGGTTAGACTTACAGTAGCCTATCTATTATAATTTGTTAAGACACTGAAAATTACTTAGAACATCGCTAAATTTACTTAACACTTTACCTGTTTTCCATCAACTTCAATATCTGCTACATAGTTCTCAAAAACAGTAGGAACATAGACTTCAGGGAACTGGTCTTTGCTGAAGACAATGAGAAGGCAAGTTTTACCACAAGCACCATCGCCCACTATGACCAGCTTCTTACGAATAGCAGCCATTTCTAAAACAAGAAGAAAAACATTCTTTAAGAGAGAAAAATTTGAATTTTAGTAAAACAACTAATACATTATGCTCAAAAATAGACTTCCCAGCCAAACTTAATTATTTTAAGAGTTGGTAGGTACACAGAGAAGTAAGATATAAAGGATAAATTCAAAGGTACACTTAAGTGGTGTCTAGCACGAGTCGCTGGTGTCTAGAGAAAATTCTATTCGTCGTCCCCTTCCGCTTTTCTTTCGTCCCCTTCCACTTTTCTTTCCCCCCTCGCCATCACAAACTACAGCGAGCGAGCTGGAGCAAGACCCTGTGCGCTTAAACTGTTGTACAAAAATGCTATTTGGCCATTGCCGTTCGGGCTCTTCCTTGCTCGGTACAAGTACATTTCCCGCTCCACCATACTTGAGCTAAAAGCGCACGGTTGTCCCATAAGCTTGTATTCTCTGTATCTTACTTCTCTGTGATAGGTAGTTGGAAACTATGTAATAGGTTCTTAAAATATTAACTTTTATACTCAAAACTTGCCTGCCAAAACTGGTTTCTAACATATTTATATAACACTAGTGTCTAGTGTATTAAAGCAATTAATAACAAAGTAAATATACTTGTGAATATTCAAAAATTACAGTAAGCCTAAGTGTAATTTAAGTAAAAGAATATTTAAAGGTCCCCCTATCTTCTTTAATTTGAGTTTAATTGCATTGTTAAAATAAATATATTTCAAACTACAAAAGGAAACAATCCAATAATGTAAAGTTGGTTATTTTCCCTCGTTAAGAAGATATGCAAGAGACAGTTCTGGTGCTTGGTATTAGTGCTAGTCCGTGCCTAAGAACCGGATATTTCCAATATTCAGGCTGCCGCCTAGAAAATGGGTTTGGGAGCTTGGAATTAGTTAGGCAGAGATAATCTCACGCCTAAATATTTCTGGTTTGGGAGTCTAGTAGACTTAGGCGCCAGCCTAAGAGATAATCTCGGTGAGTTTGGGAGACCAATTTTGGGATTTATAGGCCTATATCTTCTTCATAAAAATTAGTGAGTTTAGGCTCCCTAGCGTGCAGAGTCTAGACGCAACATTCACCTGGTCGTGACGCATCATCCTCAAGTTACCATTAATTAGTATTGTTATCGTTGTAAATGTACCTTTTTTATGTGACTATGTTCGTGTTCGTGTGCGTGTGAATTGACGACCTTCTGCTGAAGTGATTATTTTGACATCCACTGGACGCCTAAGGATGACTTCTGTATGAAGTCGAAACTAGTTGCATGACAGAAATTGCGACTATTGGATTACTAGAAGCAGGTATTTAAACCAATTTATATTCAACGTAATCCGGAGGCTAACATCAAAAATGAAATTATCCTATTTGTCTATTAATACCGAACGGCAACTTCCCAATACCGAATTATTGCCGCCTAATACCGAACGGCAATCCCGCCGGTGCTTAGAAGGCTTTAAAACATGTTGAAGCTCGTTTTATCTTCATTCAATCTTTAAATTATATCTCATACAAGATTAACAAAGATAAAAAAAATAACAAAGATCAAATGAAGTCATGGTTATACAGTAGGAATGTGGAGGGGCTAATCATACCAGCCTAAGGAAGTCGACCGTTTTCTTAAGGAAACAAACAACAATTTGAAGGAATTCGCCAAAACTGTGGACAGTCTGACCAATCAAGGCTCACTGAATCTAGTAACCAATGACGATATACAAACCCATTTGTCTGCGAACAGATGAATTGTCAACAAATGTATTACTCTTCAGTTGGTATTGATAAATTGAAGTAGATGCTTATTATTTGAGGCGTTTGGTAATTGGAAGGTTTAGGCCTACCTTAAAGTTTTTTGAGAAGAAATATAGTTTAATTGGCATAAAATTCTTATTTAATTTAGGCCCTACCTAAAATTATAATAAAGGAAAATAGTTTTGATATTTAAAAAAAAAAGACTGAAGAATTGTCTCCTTTCATTATCTTTGTATTCTTTGAATGGACTTTGGAATTTAAGAGATATGTCATAGGCTAAATTGTAATTTAGAAGGATGATTGTATTTTGTTTAATTAGTCTTCTTAAGCTTAACATTTGTTTTGTTAAGATAATAATTATTTTAGCGATAAGCAAGGCATAACTCATCTTTATATTTATTTGACGCTATTCGTTGTATAACAACTTGTACTGTGAAGGAATACAAATTTTGATTTGATTAGCGCCTGGAGGAAAACTCTGTGCTGTCTCCGATGAAAGGTTAGTTACCAAGGCTAAATATAAAACCTTGAACTTATATAGGCCGTTATTTTTTGCAAATTGTGAGTCACCAAGATTTCAAGATGATTAAATTTATAAAAATCAAGATATAAAACCTATAGCCTATAAATAATTATGTGTCCTTGAAATCAATAAATTGAGTTATTTTTTGTCTGATTTTGATGAAATTTTGTATGAAAGAGTAGACTATTGAGAGATTAAAGTAATTTGTCCAAAATTCTCGGTCTTCCAAAATACCGATCCCAGTCATGCGGGTTATCAAATTTTTACCCTTAAAACATGGAAATGCCCAATTTCCATTAGAGCCAAACTATAGAGCTTAACTAAACTTTTCTTGGAAAAGTAGATATGAGACAGCACATTTTTGAGTTTAGATTTGTGTCGGTTGAAGAAGTTTTTAAAACTATTAATAACTTACGTACAAGTAAATGTTTGGATATCTATGGATTGAATTCAATTATTCTTAAACACGCTTCTTTTAGTATTTGTGAAGTATTGACCACAATATTTAATAGGATGATAGAAAAGGGTGTATACACAACAGTACTTAAAAAAATTAAAGTGGTTCCAGTTCCCAAGAAAAATAATGATAGTTATGAAAGCTTCAGACCAATATCAATTGTACCAACCATATCAAAGTTGTTTGAATTACTAATGTATAACCAGGTGTATGAATACTTTGAAAGTAATAACATGTTTACTGATAGGCAGTTTGGGTTTTGCTCTGGGAAGAGCACAAATGATGCTGTTGTTAGCTTAGTTATAGATGTGGTTAAAAATATAGAGAACAAAAGATTGGTTTGCTTTCGCTCTTTTGACATGTCAAAAGCATTTGATACTGTTAATCACAACATATTAATACACAAATTAAAATTTTATGGTTTTCAAGAAAATTCAATTAAACTTGTCAATTCGTATTTAAAAAATAGAGAACAATTTGTTAGTTTTAAAAATGAGTTATCTCTTGGAAAAAATATAGACGTTGGTGTTCCTCAGGGATCTTCTTTAGGGCCACTGCTATTTAATATCTATATCAATGATCTGCCATACAATTTGATAGGTGAAAACATTAATAGTTTTCTTTACGCTGATGACCTAGGCTTGAATGTTTGTTCTGAATCTAGAGATCAAATGAATCACATCCTGCAAAATGCTACGGATCTGATTTATCAGTGGTGTAATGCAAATAGATTATGCCTAAATCTAAATAAATTGCAAGATTTAGAAATTTGTTTCTCAAATAGGCAGCCTCTATTAAATGAGGTAAAACCTTTAAAATTTCTTGGAATTAATCTAAACGCAAAACTAGATTGGAAGGATCACATTGACATAACCTCAACCAAAATGTCGAAAGGTGTATACTGCTTAAGAAGATTAAAAGGTTGTGTAACACAAGATGTTTTGATAACAGTGTATTATGCACAGATACATAGTTTATTGAGTTACGGAATATTGGTGTGGGGTTTCCAAACATATACCAAAAAGTTATTTAAATTGCAAAAAAGAGCGATAAGGCTTGTAAGTGGTGTACGCTCTGGAACTCACTGTAAACCTATATTTAAACATTTCAAAATTTTAACTTTGCCTGCAATATATATTTTTCAAGTTCTGTTGTATGTAAAAAATCATTTAGAAATGTTCTCAGAAAATTCAAATAGACAATTATGAAACCAGATTTAAAAACAACTTGCAAACAGTGCTCTGTAAATACTCAAAGAGTCAAACAAACATTCAATACCGGTACATGGCAGCTAAATTGTTTAATAACTTATCAGTGGAGTCTCGGGAGTTGTCCTTGAACACTTACAAATCAAAATTGAAGACATATTTAATACAAAAATGCCCATATACAGTGGAGGATTTTTTTACATGTCAAAATATTTCTATTTAATTGTGCCTGTATTTATATATATATATATATATTTTTTTTTTTTATACTAGAACTTATTATATTGATTTATTACATCTAATTATTCATTTGCTGTATTAATTTATGTATTTTATGACGATTGTTAAAGCATTGTGAAATGTCTACAACAATAAATTGATTTGATTTGATTTGATTTGAAACACACAATTTTGTATTATTAAAGCATGGATGTACGATTTATTTCACGGAAAATTCCAAAAACATTTGTAGGCCTAGTTTGGTTGATTAAGGATATATATATTTTGATAAAATTTGGCGAATATGTTTATTTCATACTAAGCTATAAACTTAAATAATTTCATTACGGTAATTTTACTAAAAGCACACATTAACTTAACTTACCTACCATTCTTGTGTCAGCAAAGTCCCATTAAAACTACAGTAGAGTCCCGTTAGTCCGAAATGGTTGGGACCGGGCCCATTTCGGATTACCGAATATTTCGGATTAAACGTTTTTTTTTGTTTTTTTTTTAATTTTTTAAAATTCTTGAAATTTTTTTTTACTTTTTTGAAATTTTTGAAATTTTTTTTTATTTTTTGAAATTTTTTGGGATTGTTTTTTTAGATTACTTAGACCTAGTGGCTGCAGCATTATCACTTTATAAAATCCATTTGTGATTTGGGGGGATTGGAACCCTGGACGAAAATAAAAAATGTTAATAACAAACATTGTGAAATATTTACTAAAATACTCAACAAAAAAGTCTATCTTGCCCGGCCGCTACAGAATACTTTGACGAGGTACAGCTAACTGTGTAAAAAGTTTAATAAACTAAAATTTTTAAAAAATTCCTAAATAATTTCAA